CCAGGCTGAGCTGGGAATGTCCAGCCAGGAGTCAGGCAGTCAGTGCTGCCGGGAACAGCTGGAGTCCCACAGCCAAACTCAACCCTCAGCCTCCAGTGACAGGGAGAGGGAGAGCACCCGCGGCCAGTGCGGCTTCAGCCCCAGTGACAGAGCCTGTGGGGAGGAGCTGCTGGGAAGTGGTTCCCTCGCTGTCGGTCTGGCCACATGGTCCGCTCACGGCCCAGGGAGGGAGCTTTACAAAGTGCAATTCAAAAACTCTGACAAAAACATTCAATTAATATTAAAACAGCAGCCTGGGGTCGGGGGGGGGACTGCGGGATGGAGTTTCAGAGGGTGGGGGAAGAGTGGCAGAAGACCCACCCGCCAATGGTGGGGCAGCGATGTGGGGGACTGAGCCAGGCAGGTCAACAGTGTTCCAGGGCACTGCTGATGACAGCACAGTCATCGGCAGGACCTGGAAAGGGAGACCAGTGATTGGGGGCAGAGTTAACCCAATCCGCTCTTTTTAACTCTGCAAGCCAAAGCCCTAATGGGTAGGGTGGTCCCGGCTGGACAAGCAACGGAAAAGCTTCCCAGACAGTAATATCAATGGCAATGTATGTGGTTTTAGCTGAATAGATTCCAGCAATACCCCATTGCACACTCTTGGGTCCCCAAACCTTGGCTGTTGCCAACCTGCGCCTAATACTTGCCAGAATTAGGTAAGCAGGAGGCATCCCTCCAGGGAGAGAGTGCACAATCCATTCCAACAATCTATCTCTGGGATTTCCATCTGTAAGTGGGATGCTTGGAAAACAGCTTGAGTTTCGATACTCATAAGCGTGGTAATGGGTTTCCGCATGTGTCAGACACCCGGCTTATCAACAAAAAAATCGAGTTCCCTGTTGAAAGCTAATATGGATTCTGCCTCAGCTATCTTAAATTAGTGCCCTATAGTCACTAGCTCACTGACTAATGGATATAATTTCTCTCAGTTGACGCCATCAAAACACCCCTAATTTTAAAGACCTCTATCAAGTCAACTCTCAACGTTTTTTGTTCCAAAGAAAATGTCCCAGTCTCCCCTCATAGGCCAAACCACTCATCCATGGTATCATCCTTGTAATTCTGCTCTGCATTCCCTCTATTGCCTTGACCTGTTTCTTAAAGTGGGGTAACCAATACTGGACAAGATATTCTAACTGCGGTCTAACTAATAATTTATATAAGTTTAGCATTATATTCCTTATATTCATACATTTATATTTTATATACTTATTATATTTTATATTATTTTATATTTGACCTTATATTCTATACCTCTATTTATAAAACCTAGTAGTCCATTAGTTTTTTGACATCTTTTTCCACCTGCCTTCCCAACTTTAAGGATTTGTGTACATTAACCCCCAAGCCCCTCTCCTCTTCCACTCCTTTCAGTATTTTACAACACAACATATACTTGTCATCTTTATGCTTCTTCCCTAAAGGTATAACCTCACATTTGCCTGTATTAAATTTGATTTGCCATTTCTCTGTCCAATCAACTAATCTGTCTATGTCTTCATGAAGTTGCTTTACAATCTTCTTTTTTTCGGTCAGCTGGGTGTCTGACACATGAAAAACCCTGGGTGTCTGACATATGAGGCAACTCATGCTTAAGAGTATCCAACCCAAACTGAGAATTCCATGCATCTGAGCTACACATGGAAATTCCAGAAATATATTGTTGGAATGGAATGCACACTCTCTCCCTCGAGGAACGCATCCTGCTTATCTAATTCCAAAAGCATTAGGCGCAGGTTGGCAAGAGCCAAGGCTTGAGGGACCCCAGAGTGTGCTTTTGGGTACTGCAGGAGTCTAACCAGCTAAACCCGCATAGCTCGTCATTGATATCGCTGTCTGGCAAGCTTTCCCACTCCTTGCCCAGCTAGGACTGCCCTACCCGTTGGGGCTTTGGCTTGTAACAGGATCTGAGTGGGATGATTTCCGGGTCCAGTGACTGGTCGGCCCTTCCAAGACTTGCCGATGAGCCGGGTTGGTTGTGATGTCACCAGTTGTGCCCTGGAACACTGCTGACCCACCCGGCTCAGGAACCGGACTAGAGACCACCACAGAGGGCTGACTCAATTCTGACATTCAGTTGCCAAGCATGTCACCTTGGAACCAGTTCAGCTCCAAGGTGACCACTTATCTCCCCCCTCCCCCAAGAAAGATAGTCACTAGATGGTCGTTTGACATCAGACATCCTGAGAGCTTCACGATGGGCAACACATCTCAGCATAAATAAATATAATAATAAAAATGATCCTTGTATCCTGTGAAATGTTTGGAGAGATCCTCCGAACGTGAAAGGTGCTATACCAAATGTAAGGATTATTTTATTATTTAGTCCTTTAAGGACATGAAGCAAATTGGATTTAACTGATTGGATTAAATGTTCAGAAAAGAACACCTCTCTCAGAGCAAATAACAAGAAGCTGTGACTGAGGGAGAAGTTGCACACAAGCAGCTGTTAGATATTTTTACAACTTTCGCACCGATACAGAAATAGATGCTTTTGGTTTAACTAACCTCCGGGCCAGCCCCTCACCTCAGAATAGGTCCCTGTTTGCAGATGTTTCCGGGGTTCGTTTGGGGTGGTCCTTTCTGGGTTGCTGATCAGATTTCACAAGATTATTAAGCAAGTAAGGTTTACATTATAATCACACTTCAGAGATGCTCTCAAATATACCATAAATCCAAATGTGTTCTGCATAGCAGTAAATATGAGACACACAGACAATGCAACCTTCTCAAGTCCTTCAAATCCCTCCACATCTTTGGCACCCCCAACCATAGTATTCTTCTCCAACATATGTCTGATCATCAAACTCAGGCCTGATGCACGTCAAGTACCCTCTCAAACCCACTGGCAGCTGCTCAGCTATCAGCCATAGAGCTCCTGCTCCTCTGAACACCCTCACAGACTCTTTCTCCCTGTTTCAAAACCCTCCTAAAAACCTACCCCAGAGACCGTTTCCATTACTTCCTTCCTGCTTCTTTCCTATTCGCACCTTGTTATGTGATCCGTACCTTCCCTATAAAGTGCTTTGATTTGTTATCATCATGAAAAGCACTATATAACTATTGTATTAAACAAGTGCCTTATCTCTAGTGCTGGAGCTGGGTTATAATCTCTCCAAAAGTCTAACTGCTACTCTTTATTAAACACTTGTCGGATGTGATGAAGTGTCCTATTTAGAGTCCTGAATGGTTTTTACTTTCTGACCCGCCAGGTGCTCATCACCGTCCAATACCATTTTCTGCATTTTCTAAATGTTATTTCTGAATGTTATTTCACCACAGAGTCAATCACTTCAGCGTGCCTCGATTACATTAAGAAATCCACAACCAATCCAGTGCTTAAATCCAGTACTTTGTGGAGTTTTTGTTGATTCTCGGGCAGGGCGAAACGTTAGGCAAGTTTGTTTACTCGACACACCTCTGTTTACCTAGCAGTAAGTAGGAACCCAGTTATTCATCGATTGGCGGATCGTTTTTCCAGGGGGTAATAATCCCATCAATTTTTTTAAAAAAAATAATCATTTGGTCATTCAATCCATGACTCTTTGTAGGACACAACTGTGCACAATTGGCTGCCGCGTTTCACCCACAAAATATACAGTCAATTCACTTTATGGTATATTCTATGAAGCACTTTGAGATATCTCGAAGGTGTGATAAAGCATTATATCAAATGCAAGGATTATTATTATTAAATCTGACTGACCATATGTCTTGTTCTCCCTTACTACTACAGCAGGTTTGGGCTCAAATCTCAGCTTGTTGCATTTCAAATAATCAACTTGAAGGGGTCGAGGAGGTAAGCAGGATCTCCTTAGAGCTGAATTGGCTCCATGGTGACATGCTTGGCAACTGAATGTCGGAATTGAGTGAACTCACTGCAGTGGTCTCGGTTGTCCAGTTCCCGAGCCCTGCAGATCTACATTACCTCAGGACATCGCTGATAACAGGAGACTCCTTGACAGAACTTGGAGGAGCAGACTACCCACTGTGCGAAGGGATTCTTCCCACTCGGCTCCTGTTAGCCCTACAAGCCAAAGGCATAATCAGTAGCAGGGTGAGCCTAACTGGACAAGGAGCAGGAAGCTTGCCAGGCAGTGTTTTTAATTGAAAGCTATATTATTTTAGCTGGTTGAATTCCAGCCCAGTTACAACATACACACTAGGGTCCAGCTGATGCCTAATACTTTCCAGAATCAGGTAAACAGGTCCATCCTTCCTGGGAGAGAGTGCACATTTTATTCCAGACACAGGAAAATCCCATGTGTAGTTTGGCTATTCTTGATAATAATATAACAATCCTTGCATTTGATATAGTGCCTTATCGTGTTGTCCACACTTCTCAAAGCTTGTTAGCGAAATACACAGTCAGGTCACTTTGCAGGATATCCTCGATACACAGTATAAGGCACGCTACGCTGGACACATGGTTGACCAGAAAAAAATGGTTTTAGAGCCCAGTAACCAAATAATGACTGTTGTGAAGCAGTATTTATTGTGGGTTCGGTGACACAGGCCCACACTGCACTACCTACTGTTTTACCTAGTGTCTAACTTGCGATAGTAACAAGAAGTGGCTGGTAAAAAGGTAGAGTGATGTAATAAGGTGCTTTATCAAATGCAAGGATTATTATTATGATGATCAGGAGTTGAGATCTAATAATAATAATTCTTGCATTTGATTAACGCTTGATCACATCATCGAGACGTCTCAAAGCGCTTCACAGAATATACTGTAAGGTGAATTGACTGCATATTTTGTGGGCGAATTATCACCTTTAATATTTCTTGTGAAACAGTGGCCAATGTAATTAATGTGTGAGTGAGTGGGAGCCGGGCTGAGCTGGAATTGGCTGGTTATGGGCAGACTTTGCATGGGGAGTCCCCCCCACTCCCCTCCCCTCCCCTCGGGTCACTCACTATAAGTGACTGTGGCCACTCAGCACCTCACATTGTGCCGCAGACATGGGGCACTCAGTGTTTGCCCTGATCTCGCTCAGTGCCTGTCTCGCCTGTGAGTAAACAGCCAGACCGTCTCCCAGACCGTCTCCCAGACCGTCTCCCAGACCGTCTCCCAGACCTCTCCCAGACCGTCTCCCAGACCTCTCCCAGACCGTCTCCCAGACCGTCTCCCAGACCTCTCCCAGACCCTCTCCCAGACCCTCTCCCAGACCCTCTCCCAGACCGTCTCCCAGACCGTCTCCGTGTCCCTGAAGAAACCTCAGCCTCGAATAACGGTGGTGTTTATGTTTTGCAGATGTTTGTCCAGACGTTGGGGTTCTGCAGCCCGAGGTGCTGACTGTGAGGGCGGGTCAGACCGCCTCTCTGGAGTGCGATGTGAGGAAACATGAAGGGTACTACATGCAATGGTACAAGCAGGTCCCGGGGGAGGCGCCGCGCTTTCTGCTCCAGTTCGTTTACTCAGAGAATAAACACGAGAAATACGGCTCCGGCTTCTCCAAAGACCGCTTCACAGGCAAAGGGGACAGCACCGGAGCAGTTTATCACCTGATCATCAACAGTGTGGAGTTGGCGGACACGGGGCTGTATCACTGTAAAAAGACCTACAAAACGAGCAGCGGCACCGTACCACAGTGACAGAGGCCGTGACAAAAACCAGCACAGGTCCAGCCAGCGGATAGCGCAGCCCGGAGCGGCCTCCCCGCAGCCCAGCACAGTCTGATGAGCAGCCGGGATACGCCGCAAAGTGACTCGACTGCGGGGCCAACGCAGTCCTTCACCGAGTGAGGAACGCACCGGACGGCGAGTGAGGGGTTGCAGAGGAGTTTGCCGAATGCCTGCGGCTCTGCTGCGGCTCTGCTGGAGCTCTGCTGGGGCTCTGCTGCGGCTCTGCTGGGATCGTGTGCAGCTCTTACTATCATTATCATCGTTGGGAAGCGGCTGCGAGCCGTGACCAGCAGCGACCTGGAGGGCGGCTGATGGGAAGCAACTGGCGGGGGCTTCTGAGCTGGAAATCCGGGCTGTGGGTATCGGGTCAGGGTCCGGGGGCGACTGCAACACTGTGAGTGAAGGTGTTCGGCGGAGGGACGAAGCTGATCGTCACAGGTGAGTTACAGCCGCTTCTCCTTGTGTTGCTGTACCGGGAGGGAGGGGGGGAGGGGGGGAGAGGGGGAGAGGGGGGGAGGGAGGGAGGGGGGGGCAGCACCAGCAGCGGCTGCTGTTTTAATATGAATTGAATGTTTTTGTCAGAGTTTTTGCATTGCACTTTGTAAAGCTCCCCCTCCCCCCCCCCCCCTGTGGTCAGACCGACAGCGAGGGACCCGCTTCCCAGCAGCTCCTCCCCACAGGCTCTGTCACTCCAGCTGTTCCCGGCAGCACTGACTGCCTGACTCCTGGCTGGACATTCCCAGCTCAGCCTGGACACTGCAAACAGCCCGCGCTGCTGTTTGGGAGAAGAGACTTTCTCCCGGAGTCAGTATTCCTTCTTACTGTTTGTGGGACATTGCTGTCCGCAATTGGCTGCCGCGTTCGCCCACAAATATACAGTCAATTCACTTTACAGTGTGTTCTGTGAAGCGCTTTGGGACGTCCTCCCGACGTGAAAAGCGCTATATCAAATGCAAGAATTATTATTATTATTATTATTATTACGCCGCACCAGCAGATCATCCCGACTGTGTGTGTGGGGGGAGGGGTGGGGGGTGGGGGCTGTATGTGTGGGGGGTGGGTGCTCTGGGTGTGGGTGGGGGGGGGGTGGGTTGCTGTGTGTGTGGGTGCTTTGTTGTGTGTGTGGGGGGGATGGTGGGGTGGGTTACTATATGTGTGGGGGGGGTCGGGGATGGGGGGTTGCTGTGTGTGTGTGGGGGGGGTCGGGGATGGGGGTTGCTGTGTGTGTGTGTGGGGGGTCGGGGATGGGGGTTGCTGTGTCTGTGTGTGTGTGGGGAGATGGGGGTTGCTGTGTGTGTGTGTGGGGAGATGGGGGTTGCTGTGTGTGTGTGTGGGGGGGGGGAGATGGGGGTTGCTGTGTGTGTGTGGGGGGGTCGGGGATGGGGGTTGCTGTGTGTGTGGGGGGGGAGATGGGGGTTGCTGTGTGTGTGGGGGGGGGAGATGGGGGTTGCTGTGGTGTGTGTGTGTGTGGGGGGTCGGGGATGGGGGTTGCTGTGTGTGTGGGGGGGGGTCGGGGATGGGGGTTGCTCTGTGTGTGTGTGGGGGGGTCGGGGATGGGGGTTGCTGTGTGTGTGTGGGGGGGTCGGGGATGGGGGTTGCTGTGTGTGTGGGGGGGTCGGGGATGGGGGTTGCTGTGTGTGTGTGGGGGGGGGAGATGGGGGTTGCTGTGTGTGTGGGGGGGTCGGGGATGGGGGTTACTGTGTGTGTGTGTGGGGGGGTCGGGGATGGGGGTTGCTGTGTGTGTGGGGGGGTCGGGGATGGGGGTTGCTATGTGTGTGGGGGGGGAGATGGGGTTGCTGTGTGTGGGGGGTTCGGGGATGGGGGTTGCTGTGTGTGTGTGTGGGGGGTGGTCGGGGATGGGGGTTGCTGTGTGTGGGGGGGGTCAGGGATGGGGGTTGCTGTGTGTGTGTGGGGGGAGGGGTCGGGGGTTGCAGTCACTACTGTAGTGACTGTGTGAAGCGCTGGCTGAGTTGCTCTCACCTGATGCAGGTTGTATTGGGCGCCTTTCCGATACAAACCCGGAGTACTGAGCACTGACTGAGCCGCTGTGTGTCTGCGTCCGTCTCACCTTCGGTCCGACTTTCATTGCAGGTCTGCAGCTCCCACCGCCTTCAGTGTCTGTGCTGCGAGCTGCCGAGCCGGGCGGGGGCGGGGACCGTGCCGTGCTGGGCCAGGCCAGGCTGGTGTGCCAGGTCACCAAGCTGTCGGTGGGATTAGTTGACGTGGAATGGGTGGTGGACGGGAATTCCACCTCGATCGAGGCGCAAACCAGTCAACCTGTGCGGGAGCCGGACAACACGTACACTCTGAGCAGTTACCTGAGCGTCCCGGCCGCAGACTGGCACCAAGGCAAGGTGCACTCGTGCCGAGTCCGGCAGGGAGGCAGCCTGACCCAGCGGGACATCAGCAGCGCTGCCTGTTAGCCCGGGCTAACCCCCGCACCCACCGAGGGCGCTCCTCCTGTGCGCAACGCTTCATCTTTGCAGCGTTTGAGGCCACGGACCTGTGGAGTATCACAGGACGGGGTCGTCTTCTAATGAATAAAAAAAAACATCTTAAGTCACGTTTTCTGTGCTTTTTTACCCCCCCCCCCCTCCCCCCAAGGATCGGGAGGGTTTCGAACCGGTTTGGTACTTCCTCAAGTAGAAAGTGCAACACCAGTATATCTAGACTTTGCAGTGGTTGCGCAGAGCCGGAGGCTTAGAGTTGCTCGGCACAGGCAGAAAGAAGGGAGAGCAGAAAATATTTCTTCACAGAAGACTGACGATGGGCAAAGCAATTGGTCAGAAAAGGGATGTGGAGTTGAGAAGTGCCCGGGTTAAGGAATTCATAAATAAACTTGCATTTGGTACAGTGCTTGTGTCACGTCGTCGAAACATCCCAAAGGCAAATGAGACAGCACATAGCAATGTCCCACAAGCAGTGCCACCGTGAATGACCAGGGCTTAGGCGATTTGTATTGATACAGAGGCTTTTGCCTCTGCAGGGAAGGCTCACAGGACCTGACGTGGTTGGCTGGACACACTAGATGGAGTGGGAGGGGGAAAATGACTGAAAGCCCAGGCATCTTTTGAGACTGGTCTTGAATTGAAGGAGGGAGCGAGCGAGTCGGAAGGACTCCGATGGTGGGGCGAATAGAGCAGGTGACTGCAGCCCATGTCCTCTCCCGCACCAAACTCCGTGACCCCCATCTCCCCTACTCTCGCCCGACTCCACTGGTTCCCTATCCTTCAGAGGATCCAGTTCAAGATCCTGGTCCTCACATACAAAGCCCTCCATGGCCTCGCCCCACCCTACCTCTGTGATCTCCTAACCCACTACCAACCCGCCCTTTCCCTTCGCTCAGCCGGCTCTGGCTTGTTCTACATTCCCCGCCCCACCATTGACGGGAGAGCCTTCAGCCACTCTGCCCTCAACCTCTGGAATTCCATCACCCAATCACTCCGCCTGCCCCCTCCTTAGTCTCCTTCAAGTCCCACCTCAAGACCCTCCTCTTTGACCATACCATCGGCCACCCCCCTTCCCCTCCCTTACCCCCCCCCAACCCCAGCTCGGGTCTGAAATGTTGTACTCTGTCCAGTGCCTTGGGACGTCCTCCCAATGTGAAATGCGCTATACAAATGTAATCTTATTGTTGTTGTTGTGACGTGAAACAGGCTGGTGCTCACTGAGCGAAGGGAGCAGCCGGGTCAGCAGGATTAAAGGTCGCAGAAGGCGAGACCATGGAGGGATTTCATGGTGAGAACTCGGTTCTCTGTTTCTCTAACTTGATCCCTGGCCCTGCATGGCTAGTGGAATTTTAGCCACTGATCTTTTACCATAATAATAAATAATAATAATCCTTGCATTTGATATAGCATGCAAGGATTATTATTATTTATTATTATGGTAAAAGATCAGTGGCTAAAATTCCACTAGCCGTGCAGGGCCAGGGATCAAGTTAGAGAAACAGAGAACCAAGTTCTCACCATGAAATCCCTCCATGGTCTCGCCTTGTTGAGAGTTCAAGCCCCACGTAGAGAATTTGATCTCACGGTCTAGGATGACGTTCCAGTGAGGGCTGGGGGAGCAAAGCGTTGTCAGAGATGCCGTCCTTTAGATGAGACAACGAATTGAGTTCCTGTCTGCCTGTTGAAGTGGATGTTAAAAAAAAAAACCTGTGAAGCTATTTGAAAGAGAAGGGAGTTTCTCCGGTGTCCTGGCCAACAATCCCCCAGATAATAATCGGTCACTCACTTCATGGCTGTTTGTGGGACATTGCCTGTTCGCCAACAAAATACAGTCACTACACTTTTACAGTGATGACTATGATGTTAACATTAGAAAAGCTGCATGAAATGCAAGGAATAATATTATTATAACCACTTCCCTTGAAAACATCTCAAGTTAAAAATTTATAGATCGTATTAACCAGCATTGGTATTGAGACCTCCCTCTTTGTCAATCCCAAGAGCCATTCTCCAAACCAATTGATCTCTTTGTTAGAAACTAAAGCACGTCTTACACCATCATCCACAACATGTTGCCTATTAATCACCCACAAAACAGTCACTCCATGTTACAGTAAATCCCGTGAAGCGCTTTGACATGAAAAGAAATTGCAAGGATTTGATACGATTATTACATCTCCTGTAAAATGAAATGGGCTTCACTTAAAGTCAACGTTGTGGCAGTGACACCTCACAGCAGAAATCTTCATTTACTTATTTGGACAAAATATACCAGTGTTTCTTTGCATTCCTCTTGCAAATTGGAGCTGGGCTGAAATGCCCCCGTTTTATGTATTGTTTATCAATGGTGTAACATGCAGCTGGTTCCTATGGAGTAATGTTATCAAGGACACCAGGGAAACTCCCTGCTCTTCTCCGAAGAGGCTTTTCTTCACTAGGAATAAGACAGAATCCCTTTTTGTTACCATCTTGAAGATTTCTGCTGTACGATGGTGCCCATGCTGACTCGGGGCTCCTGGCAGGGAAGCTTGGAGCCGCGGAGGGTGGAGATACAGTCCTTCGTGGACGTGAGAGATCACCGGCACCTGGCATCCAGTCAGAGTGGGATGTGGGGCTTTGCTGAGGTCTGAAAGGATTGTTCCTGGAGGCGGGAGTGGTACCGGAACTCGTGAACTCATCACTTTTGCATTGGGCTCCGCACGCCAGGAACCAATCCGATCTGATAAAAGTGTCATCCCTTGGAGGCGAGACGAGCGGCACCCCCTTCCTCCTGCGAGGTGGGACGATGGGGGCCGTGCTCGAGCATCCCGACAGCGGGTCCAGCTCGCTCCACAAATCCTGGGCAGGAATACTGACATCCTGCTCTCTTGAGGCTGGTGTGTGCTTCAGTGCACAATGCATTGCAGGGGACTGGCTCAGCACAGGTTGTGGTTTAGGCACCACTGGCGTCTCTGGGTGGCAAGAATCTGACGAGCACAGTGTGAACTGCATGGGCTCCTGTGTGCTCCTGCCCTCCGCTCTCGTGGTCTGGAGAAGGAAGAGAGAATATTAGCACCAGGTTTTATTCTTACAAAATTAAAAAAAAAAATTCATCGGTTCAAAACACCACATGTGGTTTGGTACTTTGTCATACTGTGTGTCAGCCTGGCTCAGTGGTAGAGCTCTCGCCTCTGAGTCAAAAGATTGTGGGTTCAAACCCCACCTTGGGAATCACATAGTCTATGCTGACGCTCCAATTTAGTGCTAGGGGTTGTCACATTGTCAAAGGTGCTGTCCTTCAGATGAAACCTCTCTCCCGGTGTCCTGGCCAACAATCCATGGCGGTTTGTGGGACATTGCTGTGTGCAAACTGGCTGCCACATTTCACACACAAAATACACACACTCCATTTTACAATATATCCTGTGAAGCATTTTGAGACATCTCAACGACGTAATAAGGCACCATATCAAATGCAATGATTACTATATATAAAAATTCAAGCATTACTTTCTGAAAACAAAGCGTAAGGTTACAGCCCTTACTTCTAGTCCTCATCTTCACATCCCTCCATGTCTCACTCCATCCTCACTTTGTAAGCAACCCTACTGACCTGGTCACTCCCTTTGTTCACTGTTATAAACACTAGATGTATATGTTTACACATTTAAAATCACATCATAGTTAATTACTTGCCAGCACCACAGGGCAAATTTGCAAACAGAAAACTGAGCAGAGGAGCACTTAGAAACAAACTCATTACACAGAGCTGTGTGGAGTATTGTCATTTATTGATTAGAGCAATCGCCTCACAAGCAAGAGGACCCAGGTTCGATTCCCAGGCGGGGAAAAACCTTAGGCAAGTTTCCTTACTCCACAAGACCCTCAACTCTGGTCCGAAGCACTGATTGACCAGCGCCTTGCGACATTCTCCTGACGTGAAAGGCGCTATACAAATGTAATTTTGTGGTTTACCTAGCAGTAAATAGGAACCCGGTTGTTAGTCAATTTGTGGATTGCTTGCATGGGATAATAATCCCTCCGAAGGGAAAAAAAATGTGGTCACTCAATCCACGACTGATTGTGGGACACTGCGCAATTGGCTACTATGTTTTTCCCACATAATACACAATCAATCCATTTTACACTGTATCCTGTGAAGTGCTTTGAGACGTCTGAACGGCGTGATAAGGCACTATATCAAATGCAAGGATTATTATTATAACTGAGGCAACTTACCAAGTCAGAGTTTCCCCCTCGGCCCTTTGGCAGGGCTGGTCTGGCAGGCAATAGGCTTCTCACCAGTGTGTGACTTGGGGCCATGAGGGGAGCAGAAGGGAACTTTGTGTTGGCTTTACCAGCAGCCCGGGGCATAGTGAATGACTGCATTGCGGCCGGACGCTTTGAGCAGGATTCTACAATTAACATTGCTGAAACAGGAAAGGAAACAACAATAATAATAATCCTTGCATTAAATATAGCGCCTTATCACGTTGTTGAGACGTCTCAAAGCGCTTCGCAGAATATACTGTAAAGTGAATTGACTGTATATTCTGTGGGCAAAACGCGGGCAGCCAATTGTGCGTTTCAGTGTCCCACGAACAGCCATGGATTGAATGACTACATTTTTTAAAAAAAATTATTTATGAAGGGATTATTATCTCTGGAAAGTGACTAACAACCGGATTCCTACTCACTGCTAGGTTAATAGAGGCGTGTGGAGTAAGGAAACCTGCCTAAGCTTTCGCCGTGCCCGGGAAACCAATCCACTCTGGTCCAGCCTCACACTCGGTTGCAGTTTTTATGCCTTTTGTTCTGGACATACACAGGTGTCAGTCTGGCTCAGATGGTCGCTCTCTCACTGGGTTTCAAGCCCCACCTCAGGATTTTGAACTCCAATGAATCGAAGCACCATATCAAATACGGAGATAACCTTCTCCTTCCACATCGGAGAACGTCTCAAAGTACTTCACAGGATTTAACGTAAAGTGTAGTGACTGTGTGTTTGTAGGTGAAAGCGGCAGCTAATTTTCACACAAATTGTCCCGCAAACAGCAATGAAGTGAACGATTTTAAACCTTGGTTTAAAATCTCACCTGAAGGACGGCACCTCTGACAATGCAGTGATCCCCCCAGCACTGCCCTGGAGCATCAGCCTAGACTGTTAGCTCAGAGTCCTAGATGTGGGGCTTGAACCCACAACCTTCTGACTCAGAGGCACAAGTGGCCTGTTTAATGAGGTTATATCACTTAAGATTACATCACTCTAACTGATGTTACTGTGTAAACCGACTGCAACAAAAAGAAAGGAACATCTATTCTCTCACCCATATAAACCAGCACCAGCACAGACATGATGGGGAGAGAGCAGGGAACAGGATTAGAGTAGAGAGCTCCAATGGAGTCATTTACTTCATTGCTGTTTGTGGGACATTACCGTGTGCAGGACTACTGCTGTGCTCACCTACAAAATGCCCAGTCACTAGACTTTACAGAAATATGTGAAGTATTTTGAGACATTTGATATTATAGAAGCCATATTAATTGCTGGGATTATTTTATTATTTTTATATTACATTAACAACCAGTGTAACCAATTCACACTTATCCGAGACTCCACGGGGCAATCAATGTAAAGGATTTCACACTTACCTGAGACTCTGTGGGATGTTCAGTGGGAGTTAAACAGATAACTGCAGGTGTCTGGAGCTCCCTCCGTACACCTCCGCTGCTGGTGGTCAGAACCACTCTGTAACCCACATCCTGACCTGAAATTGGAGCCATCGCTATCGGTGTCAGGCCTAAACAGTGACCGCTGATGAGGCCAGACTGACCCCGTGGCTGAACCGCTCACCTGATTTCCCTTCCATTAGGTGTTTTATTGCCTGTTCTGCTTCCGCAGCCGACGACGTTTTAATTTGCGACACGTTGTACGGCCTGCTTATACCACTCCTGCAGGACGGCTGAAAAGCAGATGGATTCACAGTCAATAACATTCCCAAAACTAATGCTCTGCGGTGGTACTGTCAGCGCTGCTCAAAGCTGGTCAGCGTAGGTTCAATCGTGTGGATAGTGACAATCACAGGAACATTTCAGAATATCGTTGGCTGACGCTATTTGTGATGTTTGATGTGAAACAACACAATACTATTTATATTTATTCAGCACCTTTCACGACGAGAGGACATTTCTAAGAGTTTCATACAGTTGGCTGGGCTCCAGAGCCAGGGTTTGGGGGTGGGGGAAGACAACCGAAAGCACTATCTTCGAGTGGAGACAGAGGGGGGAGTCGGAGGGACTTTGGGATGGAGTTCAGAGACTTGAGGATTATTAATAATAATAATCCTTACATTTGATAGAACGCCTTATCAAGTCATTGAAATGTCTCAAAGTGCTTCACAGAATATACTGCAAAATGGATTGACTGTGTATTTTGTGGGTGAAATGTGGCAGCCAATTATCCACAACAGTGTGAATTGAGTGAACAAATGCTTTTTTTTTTGAGGGATTATTATCCCCGGAAAGCAATCTGCCAATCGATTAACAACCGGGTTCCTTCTTACTGCTGGGTAAACAGAGGCGTGTGGAGTTAGGAAACTTACCTAAGCTTTCGAACCGCCCAGGAATCAAACCCGGGTCCTCTCGCTTGCGAGACAAGCACACTGACCACTACGTTACATAATAATAATAATAATAATCCTTGCATTTGATACATATATACATGTATGGAGAAGATAGGGAGAGGGATATGGAGCAACAACAACAACTTGCATTTATATAGTGCCCTTCAAATGGGTAGCTTACTGAAGCGTTTTGTTGCAGAGGGAGTGGCTGGATTGGTAGGTCTGTAGGAGGTTGTTCAAGTCGGGTGGGGATGAGACCGTAGAGGAATTTTAAAGGTGAGGACGAGGATCCTGAACTCGATTCACTGGGGGATGGGGAGCCAGAAACATCACACAGAGGAACGAGAGCTCCTCACCAACTGCAGCTCAGCAAGAAATGGGCGAGAAACTTGGCACCATCTTCCGCCCCACAGCTCGGATACACGTCACTACCCCTCGAGCGGTGGTTTGACATGCGTTTCTGACACTCAGTGCGGCCCTTTGGCACAAACCTCTGTTGTGGCCATAATTACAAAACCATGGTAAAGTATCCATACTTGAAAAACAAACTTAAAGTGAAAGGATTAGGAAAGTGCCGGTGAATAGGGTTTGAGTTCAAGCCCCAGTGTGAAGGGGTGTGATGGAGCTAACACCAGCACAGACAGCCAGCTCAGTAGGGTTTGAGGAGGTGCGAGAGGGAAGATAGTGCCAAATCTCTCGCCCATTTCTGATCATGAGGAGCTCAGCAGATCGAGATGCTCTTCCTCACCTTTAAAATATCTCCATGGTCTCACCCTACCCTACCTTTGCAACACACAGGGCTGACAGGTTACGTAAACTTGGCTTGTATTCCCTCGAGTTTAGAAGGTTGATGGGTGATTTGATTGAAGTATTTAAAATAATGGGATTAGATAGGGTAAATAGAGAGAAACTATTTCTCTAAACTAAACTATTTCTCTGTATGGTAGGGGAATCCAGAACAAGGAGCATAATCTTAAAATTAGAGCTAGGCCATTTAGGAGTGAAATCAGGAAGCATTTAGTAGAAATCAGGAACTTTCTCCCCCAAAAGGCAGTGGATGTTGGATCCATTCAAATTTTCAAGACTGAGGTGGATAGATTTTTGTTAGAAAATATAGTATCAAGGGATATTGGGCAAAGACGGGTAAATGGAGTTGAGGTATAGTCATGATCTAATAGAATGTCAGAACAGGCTCGAGTGGATGAATGGCCTCCTCCTGTTCCTCTGTTCCTGAACTATCCCCCATTGTAAGGGATTTCCCCGCTGGACGTGAGCCCCAAGCCTGACTGATGATCGGAGTTTCCCAGCCGAGGGTTTGAACAGTAAAACCTCCACACTTGCGGTTCATGACCAATATCTGAATGAGGATTTCAGACTTACAGGATGCTGAGGAGCTCCTGAGAGAATCTTCGCTGGATGGAAGACGGAAGCCTGTGTTAGGCTGTCTTCAGATGTTATAGAATGATCAGACACAGATTTCTTCAAATTCAGTACAGCTAGAAGTAGTATAAAAGACAACAACATTGTTTATTCAGCGCCCTTGATGCGGGACAGCTTATCGGAGCGCTTAACAGTGGAGGAGCCTGAGGCCAAGCCAGGGGGAGGAGATAGTAATCACGGGCTAAGGGGTGGGTCTTCATTTGTGATCTAAAAGAGAGGAAGCAGGGGGCAAAGTGGAGGGAATGAGGGAGAGAGTTCCAAAGCTTCGGGGGTAGTGGCTGAAAGCGTGGCCATCAACGGTGGAGCGGAGCGGAGAAGAGACAAACAGGAGGCTGGAGTCAGTCGAGCGGAGGCAACGGGTATTGGGTTGGGAAGAAAGCAGGTCAGAGAGGTAGGGAGGTACCAGGGAGTGAAGGGATTTGAAGGCAAGTGAGAGGATCTTGAAATCAATTTGTTCTGTAATAGGGAGCCAGTGGATCCTGGGGAGGACTGGTGTGATGGGGGTACAGAGTTTAGTGTGGGTGTGTAAACACCGTACCCCAATCACACCAGTCCTCCCCAGGTCTCTCTATATCTTTCTCTCTCCCCCCATGTCTAACCATATACTGTTTTCTGTAACAGAAATCTCTCTACCTTGTGTTGCCATCCACACCTGAGTGAGCAGCGAACAAAAGGGATACAGGAGGGGAGGAAATGGATTGGGAAGACTGAAGGTTCATGTGGAATATAAACACTGGCATGGACCAGTTGGGACAAATGGCCCTCGTCACTCTGCACGTAGGTTTAGAAATCCTTTTACAAATCATGTAAATTAGAACCCATTGGTTGCTGGAGAAAGCCATGTGGATTTTTCCGTTGATGGCGCTGTGCTTACCGGGGAGTGGGGGCCTCTGCGGGGGCCGGGGGCGCCCGGGCACCGACACGGACCTGCTGGTGGTGCGGGGACGGAATTCACCGACTGGAGACATCTCCGGAGCGACTGAGGAAATGTCCGTTTCATCTGAAACAGAAAGTGTGTATTTAGCCACAAGGCGGCAGAAATCATCCCAACTCTAACCAGGGAGTCAACCACCCAAACCATAGCCAGGGAGTCAACCACCCAAACCATAGCCAGGGAGTCAACCACCCAAACCATAGCCAGGGAGTCAACCACCCAAACCATAGCCAGGGAGTCAACCACCCAAACCATAGCCAGGGAGTCAACCACCCAAACCATAGCCGGAAATCAACCACCCAAACCATAGCCAGGGAGTCAACCACCCAAACCATAGCCAGGGAGTCAACCACCCAAACCATAGCCAGGGAGTCAACCACCCAAACCATAGCCAGGGAGTCAACCACCCAAACCATAGCCGGAAATCAACCACCCAAACCATAGCCAGGGAGTCAACCACCCAAACCATAGCCAGGGAATCACCCAAACAATTATCAGGATCAACCCAACTTTACTGCCGACCCATCGCATACTTTGTCGTCCCCCCGGCTCCATCTCACGGGAAGCTCTGAAACCCCCTCCTGATGTAAGCTATGACTGCACCCCTCCCCTGTGTAGGCCCCAGCCTGGGTTACCTGTGGCTGCTGGTTGTTGGCTGAGAGCCGGCCTGGGCTCAGTGTGTGACGGACCCTCGGTGCCCTCCTGAGCTGAGTATTCAGGAGACAGCGGGCGGAGGCTGGGGCTGTGTCTGGGCATCAATCCAGCCAAAACGTGCTGAGGCACAGCTTCATCCAACTCCTCGTCCAGATCTCCTGCAGGTACATAGTCAATCAGCTCACATCAGCAACTCGTGTGGTACATTATTATGATAATAATCCTTGCATTTGATATAGCTCCTTATCACATCTTCCAGACGTCTCAAAGCGCTTCACACTGTAAAGTGTAGCGATTGTGTGTTTTGTGGGCGAAACACAGTAGCCAATTGTGCACAGCAGTGTCCCACAAACAGTTGTGGATTGATTGACCAAATTATTTGTATGTTTTAAATATATATACTAATTATTTATTTTGAAGGGATTATTACTCCCGGAAAGCTGATCCGCCAATCAACTAACAACTGGGTTCCTACATACTGCTAGGTAAATAGAGGCGGGTGGCGTAAGGAAACTTGCCTAAGGTTTAGCCCTGCCCAGAAATCAAACCTAGGTCCTCTCACTTGCAAGGAGAGCGCACTAACCACTACACTATGGGAGTCCACAACTATATTTCTTACAACTACTAACACACCGGAGAAGTGACATTCTGTAACACAGCAACAGCCAGCCAGTGTGTGTGTCTGTGTAGTGGGGGGGCGGGGAGGAAGACAGCATTGGGGGACGCGAGTGGAAGGGAGGGGAAATGCCCCCAGGGGACATGGAGAGGGGAGAGGCAGCACCAGGGGACATGAGGGAACTATGGTAGTTCAGGGCGACATGGGGGTGAAGGGTAGATTGTCTCCAGTGATAGCCACACAATCCAGATCGTTTGGTGTGCACTGGAGTAATAATTATAATGTTCAATGCAGTCATCATAATACATCAGACACAATCGCCATCTGACCTACCCTCAGTATCATAGTCCAGGCTGTCAAAATCAAAGGTCTCCTCCAGCAGACAGGAGTTTGCGGTGGGAGACATTGGTGCCATGCTGTTCCTCTTCATGTTAATCTCTTCCTGAAGATCATTCAGCCAGTCTCCTGTGAGTGGCTTTATGCTCACTGCTCTGCCATTCACCTGGACAATGTGTGAATGATATTAATAATAATATTCACTTTTTTTTTTAGTCAGTAGCCGGGTGTCTGACACATGTGGAAACCCAACACTGTGCTTAAAGAGTATTCAAACCAAGCTGAGAATTCCATGCATCCCACCTACACATGGAAATTCCAGAGAGAGATAGTTGGAATGGAATTGTGCACTCTTTAACTTGCACGGTTAACGGGAACTGAGTGAGAGGCACACAACAATGTCTCACAACAGCAATGGATTGAGCGGCAAATTTTCTCTGGGGGATTGTTGGCCACATATCGGGAGAGAAAAATTCCCTTCTCTTTACTAATAGTGCCACAGGATCTTTAACGTCCGCCTGAATAGGCAGACATGACCTGGGTTTCAACGTCTCATCCGAAGGACGGCTCCTTCTGTGCTGCATTGGAGTGTCAGCTTAGGCTATGTGATTCCAGGTACCGAAGTGGGGTTTGAATCCACAACCTTCTGACTCAGTGGCAAGAGCGCTATCACTGAGCCAGGCTGATGCATGTTATAACCTGGCACAGCAACAAACTGAGCAGGGAATCAGAAATGAGAGCCCAGAAGCAAGCCATTCACTGGTAACTAACACACCGTAGTACAGAGCTCTGGAAAGGCTCAGAGCCTCTGCTAATTAATAATAATAATCCTTGCATTTGATAGAGTGCCTTATCACGTCGTTGAGACTTCTCAAAGGATATACTGTAAAATGGAGTGACTGGGAACAAAGGAAACACGACAGCCAGTTGTGCACAGCAATATCCCAGCCATGATTGATGAGTTGGCCAGGACACCAAGAGAAACTCCCTTCCCGTTTCGAATAGCACAATGGGATCTTTAATATCCACCTGAACAGGCAGACAGGATCTTGCTTTAATGTCTCATCTGAAGGACAGCCCCTCCAACAATGCAGAACCCCCACCACCACACCACCCACGAATTGCATTGGAGTGACAGCTTAGACGGCATGAGTTCAAGTTCAAGTCCCGACATCCCCACAATCTTCTGACTCCGAGGCGAGTTTACAGTATATCCTTGAGGCACTTTGGGCGTCCTCTGAACTCAAATATAACGATTACTATTATATATCTTTGAACAAAGTTATATATTAATAACAATTATTAATCTTGAAAACACTCCTAATTGAAGGGGTCACTCAAAGCATGACTGCGTGTGGGACGTTTCTGGTGCAATTGGCTGCCGCCATTTCGCATACATATACACGGTATATTCCGTGATGCACTTTGCGACGTCTCAACTGTGTGATGAGGCGCTACATCAAATGCAAGGATTATTATTATTACAACAACCTGCGTCCCGATAGCGCTCTTCACATCAGACAAACTTGGTCCTTTGTGCTGAGACAGTGTCAAATATAGATTATTGAAGCTCACTGCATTATACACTTGTGGAATTCTGTAGCTCAGTGGTTAGAGCACTCGCTTTGCAAGCGAGACACCTGGGTTCAATTCCAGGCAGAGGGCGAAACCTTGGGCAAGTTTCCTTACTCCACACAGAGCCTAATAATAATCCCTCCCAAACAAAATAATAATTGGTCATTTTCAATCTACGACTGTTTGTGGGACACTGCTGTGTACAATTGGCTGCCGCATTTTGCCCACAAATATACAGTCAATTCACTTTAGTCTATTCTGTGAAGCGCTTTGAGACGTCTAGAAGACATGAAAAGTGCTATATCAAATGCAAAGATTATTATTATAAGGACTTTAAAGCTGTGCTGGTCGCAGGCTTGATGTTTATGGCACAAGCCGGGACTTTGGAGCAGGAGGGCAGCACATTCAGCAGGAACACCAGACTTGCCTTTGTCCCATCCAATTCCAAAACTTTCAGCACCACACAGCTGTCCTGAAAGGTCACCAACATCTGTCCCCGATCAAACCTGGTGGGAGCAAAGGAATACAGTTACTGTGTGGCCACACCTCAACCCACAACATCACTACGTGAACTCCATCCCTGCACAGTAATAATAGTAATAATCCCTGCATTTGATATAGCAACTTATCACATCGTTAAGACGTCTCAAAGCACTTCACAGGATATACTGTAAAGTGTAGTGACTGTATTTTGAGGGCAAAACACTTAGACTGTGTGATTTCAATCCCGATGTGGGGTTTGAACCCACAACCTTCTGACTTAGAGGCGAGAACATGCCACACAGACACATAATACATACATAGTGCTATCAAGGTGGGAAAAACGATTCACACCCAGTCACTTATATATCAAAGTTACACATCAATGGTTTCACTGGCAAGTGTTGCAATAATAATCCGTGCATTTGATACAGTGCCTTATCATGTCGTCAAAACGTCCCAGAATTCAGCAAATTCTTAAATTCAGCTTCAAATTTAAAGCCGTTTTTTTCTGTAAGTTTCTTTTAAGAACAACAGAAAACTGTCTTCAAAGTTTGAAAAAATAATAATAAATCTTTCATGTCAGGAGGACGTATCAAAGCTCTTTGCAGAATTTACTGGGTATTTTATAGAAATCCCATGCAGTTCTGTAGCATAGTGGTTAGCATGATCACCTCGCAAGCGAGAGGACCCAGGTTTGGTTCCTGACCTGGCGAAACCTTAGGCAAGTTTCTTTACTCCACTTTCCTCTGTTTACCTAGCAGTATGTAGGAACCGGTTGTTAGTCGATTGCCAGATCGCTTTCCGGGGGTCATAATCCCTCCAGAAAAAAAAGTTAACATTTGGTCTCTCAATTCACAATTGTTTGTGGAACACTGTCGTGCTCAATTGGCTGCCACGTTTTGCCGATAAAAAAAATACATAACCACTCCAGTTTACAATATATTCTGTGAAGCGCTTTGAGATGTCTCAATGACGTGATAAAGCGCTATATCATAAGCAAGGATTATTATTATTATTATCAGAGAACACAGGAGCTGATTTGCCAGATGCTTGATTAATTTTGAGAGTGAGACATGCAATGACAGACCAATTGTCAAGGTTTCCGACACCAGGAACAACAACGGCAAAATTACATTTGTACAGCGCCTTTCATGTCGGGAGGACGTCCCGAGGCGCTGGTACCTGAGCAGAAGGACGGTGCCGTAACTCCGGAAGCAGTGGATTAATTCACGGCTGATGTCTTCGGGAAAGTCCTCCCTCTCCTCGAGGCTCGGCGTTTTGACACAAACCACTACGGTGGCGTCAGACGGACCCTGGGAGGACGTGATTTTCTTGAGCACTCGCTCCTGGGCCAAGACATCCACTTCCTGGATGTTGATTTCCAAGACAGCCAGCACTGGCCTGGGGGAGGAGCGGAGAGAGGAACTCTTATGAAGAAACGATTAACATCACCTCTGGGGATGAATCTGGACACCACTTGCCCTTCCACTATTTGAATGTGGTCCATTTGAATAGTCATCTGAGTGGGGTTTTGGGTATCAGCAGCTGGGTGTCTGACTCATGCGGAAACCCATCACCATGCTTAAGATTATCCAAACCAAACTGAGAATGCCATGCATCCCACCTACACATGGAATTTCCTGAGATAAATTGTTGGAACGGATTGTGCACTCTCTCCCCACCAAGTATATATGGATGCATGACTAGATCAAACGCTAATGCCCACATACTTGGATGAGAAGCGCACAGTGGACATTAATGTCCTAATTTACACAGTCTCAGTCTCCAGTAAAGACTGGTCGGAGAACTGGTGTATGTTGGCCAGAAACCAAACACTGTCAAGGTGTAGTGTAAACATCCACCCACCTGTGGTCAGAAGCTTTCAGCTCTGCTCTGCCATAGTACAACACTACACCGGGATTACACGTGTGCTTGATCTTTGACTCTGCCTCGTGGTCGTAGCCTGTGAAACCTGGGTCTCCTGAAATACATGAGAAGTGTCCCTGAACAATCTAACATAGTATAATAATAATAATAATCCTTGCTTTTGATATAGCGGCAGCTAATTGTGCACAAGTGTCCCACAAACAGTCGTGGATTGAGCGACCAAAGTATTATTAGTATTTTTTTTCAAAGGGATTATTATCTCCGGAGAGCAATCCACCAATCGATTAACAACCGGCTTCCTACTTACTGTTAGGTAAACAGAGGCGCGTATAATAAGGAAACTTGCTTAAGGTTTCACCCAGCCCAGGAATTAAAACCGGGTTCTTTCGCTTGCGAGGTGAGTTTTCTAATCAATATGATACAGGACTTCACTCAGGCTCCTCTGCAAGTCAAACTACTTCATCTGATCCTCAAGCCTTACAAAGGCTTGAATTACCTCTAAGTAATGAGAGCTTCAGGCTATTTGGTCTCATCTGTCCAGACCTCAACCTCCACTGGCTGTTAGCCTCGCTCAGTCATTCATACTCTCGCCTGAGTCACAAGGTTATCACATCATCAAGATGTCTCAAAGAGCTCCGCAAGATTTTATTGTGAAGTGTAGTGACTATGTGCTGGTAGTTGAATACCACAGTCAATCTGCCATGAGTGAGAGACCAATTTTATTTGAGGGATTGTTGGCCAGGAAACCAGGAGAAGACACCTTCACTTTTCGAACAGTGCCATGGGATCTCGATTAACGTCTCAGTCAAAGGACGGCACCTCTGACAACACAGCGTTTCCCCAACACTGCACTGTCAGCCTGGACTGAGCTCAAAGTCCCGATGTGGAGACTTGAACTCGTAACCTTCTGACTCGGAGGCGAGAGTCTGACTGATCTCGCCAGGCTGACAGCTGGCATTTACGCAGATAAGCATCAGGTGTGCCTGCAACAAGGCAAAGGTCACACCTATTAGAATTGTTACATTCTTTTCACATAAGAGGTTCGACGAGAGAGTGACCAAAGTCCACATTGATGCCATCCCTACCCAATGTATCACTGGGCCATTTCCTTCGCCACCACAGCACTCGGTCCGTCCAGGCCGGAGTCCTGCACTTGTCGCTTGTGTCGTATACGTCTGTCCCCACATCGTACTTGTACGTTGGAGCAAATCTAATACAACCTTCCTGGAAGCCCTTGAAAATCTAAGTAAAAGAACAGTATTTGGGTCAACCTGGTTTATCATAATAATCTCCGCACTTCAATCAACGCCTTATCATGTTTGGAAACATCTCAAAGCGCTTCATAGGATATACTGTAAACTGGAGTAACTGAATTTTGCAGGCGAAATGTAACAGCCAGTTTGCACACAGCAGTGTCCCACAAACAGTGGTGGAGGGAGTGACCAAATTTTATTTGGGGGAATTGTTGGTCAGGACACCGGGAGAGAGAAACTCCTTTTTCTTTTCAAATAGTGTCATGGGATCTTCTAACACAAGCACAGATGGGGAACGAAGATTATGCATAGCAGTGTCCCACAAACAGTCGTGGATTGACTGAACAAATTATTATAATTTTTTTTAAAAAAAAGGGATTATTGCTCCCAGAAAGTGGTCCACCAATCGATTAAGAACTGGGTTCCAACTTACTGCTCGGTAAACAAAGGCATGTGCAGTAAGGAAACTTGCCTAAGGTTTTGCCCTGCCCGGGAATCAAACCCAGGTCCTCTCGCTTCTGAGGCGAGTGCACTGACAACTATTCTATGGGACGTTCAGAAGATAAGAAGCTGACCGCTCAGTGGAGATGAATCCATCTGAATGTCTGTCTCTGGCCGCTCTCAGCACTCACTTTGCTTTCAGCTCTCTGCTGCTGGAGCTGCTCGTGAGCCTGCAGACTCCACCAGTCCTGTTTCTTAACGTGCTGCAAGACCTCGTCGTTCGGAAGATCGATCCTGTAGTTCAGGTCTCCACACCAGAACACGTAGTCGTGCGAGAAGATGTTCTGGCCCTGTCAGAACCAAGGCAAGATGCTTGTGTTTACCATAAAATAATCAATAACCATCCACTGAATCCTGCATGCCAAAGCCCTAACAGGTAGGGTGGTCCTCACTGGACAATCAGTGGGAAAGCTTGCCTGACAGGTCCTACAATGATAAGCTGTGCGCTTTTAGCTGGTTAGCCTCCAGCAGTTACACCAACATCCGCCCTGGGGTTCCCAAGCCTTGGCTTTTGCCAACCTGTGCTTAATACTTTCCAGAATTAGGTAAGCAGGATGCATGATAAGGTTTATATCAAATGCAAGGATTATTATTATTATTATTTTTATTAATATTTCGGATGATGGCCTACCATTGGGAAGGTGAGTTTCTGGGCAATCTCCCTGTAATCTTCATTCCTTTCTTTGACTTGGTTCTGACCAGCTGTCAGGTGAGCACACACAAAGCACAGCGAGCTGCTGTAAAACTGAAAGCGGATGGCCACCGCTCCTTTGTTCCCAGTTTTTCCTCCCATTCCTGTCTTCACTGTATCCATGGCAACTTCCCTGGAAAACGAGAAAGGAGAAGTCCCAGTCAACAGCAATGCCAGTCAACTGCTGAATGTTGGATAACGTCTAATGGGTGGTCCTGGTTGGACAAGCAGCAGGAAAACTTGTCATAGAATGCTTTCACAAGCTATGTGGTTTCAGCTGGTTAGACTCCAGCAGTTACCCCAACGCACACTCTGGGGTCCCCCAAGCATTGGCTCTCACAAACTTGCCCATAATACTCTCCAGCAATAGATAAGCAGCTTGTCTCCCCCCCGAGGAGAGACAACACATTCCATTCTAGACACAACAAGACTCAGTCCCTACCTCTGAGACCTTGTAACTTCATATCCACCTGTCAGCTCCCTCCGCTCAGCAGACTCTGACCTGCTCCATGCCCCCTGTCATGCCTGCCCCACCGTCAGATCTTCATCCTCCCTGGACCCACTCTCTGGAACTCCATCCCACAGTCCCCTCCCTTGGTTCCTTCAAGGCCCATCTCAAGACCTTCTTCAACTGCGCCTTTGGTCACCCTCCTACACCCACCTTCGCTGCCTCCACCTCTCCGGATCCCAATCCCCAGATCGGGTGCAAATCCTGGACTGTCCAGCACCTTGGAAAGATCTCCTGACATGGAAGCGCTACGAGTTCACCGTCCGGCATTAAGGGCACTATATAAATGCAAGTTGTTGTTGTTGAAAGGCGTTATACAAATGTACTTTGTTGTTTCAGCGCCTTGGGACGTCCTCCTGACGTGAAAGGCGCTTTATAAATGGAATCTTGTTGTTGTTGTTGTTTGGATACCTTTTAGCACAGCGATGGATTTCAGCATTTGTCAAACGCCCAGCTGTTGGACGTTTTCCTTTGCCAAGCATGGAACTAATAAGGCCTCAATGAGGCTTCATTTAACTCTCTCCCCAGACAGCCCCCCCACCCGTCCTCTGCCTCCCCACCAATAATAGCTGGTCATTAGGCAGGAACTCACCTGATATAAGGGACGTGGTGGAGCCGGACAAACACAAACAGACACAACCCCACCAGCTGCCCCGAGACCAGTAATATGTACTTGTGTCTGGTGGAGATCGCCTTCTGGAGCTGCTCTGCCCAGATCTTCTTATTAGTTGTGCTGTTAGAAAGTCAAACAGAAAGTCAAGAATGCTGTAGTTTAGTGGTTAGTGCAATCGCCTCATAAGCGAGTGGACTCAGGCTCAATTCCTGTGCAGGGCAAAACCTTAAGTCCCCCACTACATGCCGCTGAGACCCTCATACATGTATTTATAACATTGAGGCTTGACTATGCAAACTCCCTATGTGTCAGCCTCCCCAACTCCTCCCTCCATAGGCTGCAGGTCATCCAGAACTCTGCAGATTGTGTTCTCTCCTGCACCGGCTCCATGACCTTATCACACCCATCCTCGCCCGACTCCACTGGCTTTCCATCACACAGAGGATACAGTTCAAGGTACTAGGCCTCACCTTCAAAGCCCTCCATGGCTTTGCTCCCCACTAGTTCTGCGACATCCTAACCACCTACCAACCTGCTCACTTCTTCCGCTCAGCGGGCTCCGGCCTGCTTCATGTCCCCCGCCTCACCCACCCCACCATTAGCGGGTGGGCCTTCTCCATCCTCTGGAACTCCATCCCGCAGTCTCTCCATCTTGTCCGCTCCTTCAAGACCCGTCTCAAGACTTTCCTCATTGACCGTGCCTTCAATCATCCTCTTTAGCCCCCTGTCCTCCATCCTCCCCAATTCCGACCCCCAGCTCAGGTCCGAAACACTGATTATCAGCCTTGGGACGTCCTCCCAATGTGAAAGGCGGTATACAAATGTAATTTTGTTGTTGTTAAGTAAGTATCCTTACTCTACACACCTCTGTTTACCTAGCAGTAAGCAGGAACTCAGTTGTTAGCCGATTGGCGGATCGCTTTCCGGGGGTAATAATCCCTTCAAAAAATAAAATATTAATAATAATTTGGTCGCTCAATCCACGACTGTTTGTGGAACACTGCTGAGCGCAATTGGCTGCTGTGTTTCGTCCACAAAATGTACGGTCAATTCACTTTTAAAATATATTTTGTGAAGCGCTTTGAGATGTCTCAGTGACAAAGCCGAGCGACCGGCAATCAGATATGGTAATTCATGAGTAATAATAATAATACATGCATTTGAAACAGTGCCTTATCACATCATTGAGAAGTCTCAAAGCGCTTCACAAGATTTACTGCAAAGTTCAGTGACTGTATTTATAGGCAAACATAAATGACCAATTGACAGGAAACAGCAGCCAAAAATTAGTGGGAACATAGAAACAAGAGATGGACATTCAGCCCCTCGAGCCTATTCCGCCATTCTATTAGATCATGGCTGATCTGTATCTCAATTCCATTTACCCGCCTTTCTCCATATCCCTTGATACCCTTACCTATCAAAAATCTATCCACCTCAGCCTTGACAATTTCAACTGATCCAGCATCCACAACCCAATGGGAGAGTTCCAGATTTCCACAACACTTTGTGTGAAACAGTACTTCCTGATTTCACTCCTAAATGGCCTAGCTCTAATTGTAAGATGAAGCCCCCTTATTCTGGATTCCCCCACCAGAGGAAAATGAATGGGGCGTAACAACGGGGTGTCATCTTATGCCTCTGATTAAAGCAGGAAAGATCAGAGGTTGAAAAGCCACCTTGTCCCAGGCTATGAGAATTGTGAGAAGCCTTGAATTCGGTCCTGATTTAGAAGCCGGCTTCAGATTGAGCCTTTCAGATACAGGAGTTTCCACAATACAGCAGCCGTTGACTTAATATAGTACACACAACAACCACTGATTTAGCACAACAGCCACCATCGTTGAGTTAGGACAATACGATTAGGACTACATTGTCCGTGAGGTCGACTGGGAGGGATTGAGGATCTGAAGTGAGGCTGGGAGGGTCTAAAGCCTGTTCATTACCTGGCATTGACAATGTTTCCTGCATTGAGCTCCACCATTTCCTGGAATCCGATCGCAAAGATATCAGGTGAGCAGCTCTTGTCACCTGGGGAAACAAGGAGAGGTGGTGAAGTGCCGGCCAGTCAGTGTGTCCGAGGCTTTGGCTCACTCTGTTCGAGGTGACAGTTCGCGGATGTTGCAACAAGGCTCTGACTTACCGTGAGGCCTGCTGTGGCTGGGAGTGTCGAGCAGCCAGCTGGTCAGCTCTGAGATACTAAGCACATTGTTCCGGAACTGTTTTCCACCGTTGACATTCCACGTTCCCACACTGATCTGAGCTCGCCTGAAATGGGAGTACTCAAGCTGGCGTTCACACATAGCTTTCAGAATCCCACGAGGTGCTGTAAGATAACAGAGGGTCAGACAACCGGAGGCAGCCTCGACCAACAACACCACCACATGCAATTATATAGAGTGGTGTCTCAAGAGCGCTGGATCAATGAACTCTATCATCTTAATAATGTGGAGTCCCGTGACATACTGGTTAGTGGCTTGACTCGCAAGCAAAAGGACCAGGGTTCGATTCCCAGGTGGGGTGAAACCTTAGGAAAGTTTCCTTACTCCACATGTCTCTGTTTACCTAACAGTAAGTAGGAACCCGGTTGTTAGTTGATTGATGGATCGCTTTCCGGTTGTAGTAAATCCTTAAAAAATCCTTAAAAGTACTTGCTAGACAAGTACTCTATCCAATATGCTACAGGACTCCTCAAAAAAAATCCTTAATAATTTGGTCACTCAATCCAAGACTGTTTGTGGCTACTATGCCCACAAAATATACAGTCAATTTACTTTACAAAATACTCTGTGAAGCACTTTGAGACATCTCAACGACGTGATAAGGCAAATGCGAGCAATATTATATTATAAAACTACTCCTTAAAATTAATACAATTAATACAGCTACAGTGCCCAACCACATCATCAAGATATCACAATGTGCTGGATTTACAGGATTTATTGTGAAGTTTAGTGACTGTGTATTTTGTAGGCAAACAAGGTAGCTAATTTGCAAACAGCAATGTCCACAAATAGCCATGGAGTGAGCAACCAATTTTATTGGGGGGATTGTTGGCCAGACACCAGGGAAGAGAAACTCCCTTCTCTTTTCCAGTAGTGCCATGGGATCTTTAATATCGACCTAAACAGGCACAGACAGGACTTTAGTTTAACATCTCATCGGAAGGACGGCATTTCTGGGTAATGGCACATCCCTTTAGCAATACATCGGGGGGTGGGGGCAGCCTGGACTGTGAGCACAAAGCCCCTGTGTGGGGGCGGCTTTAATCCACAACCTTCTGACTCAGAGGCCAGTCAGGCTGACTGATGCTCTTATCTCCTTCCAAAAGTAACTTACTGAAAAGCACTATGTCATCCATCAGAGACCTCGCCTTCTCTGCGTATTTCTCCCTGTAAAAGTCGCCCGTGAGGAGCAAATCGATGGCCTCCTGTTTCACTCCATCAAAGAAGTTGGTCTGAATGGACCTGGATACAGAACGAGCTCCATCTTTCACCTTCAGCCCACAAACATCTCATTAGTGGAGTTAACAATAATCCGTATATTACAGCGCTTTATATCTGATGTGGAACCCCATAGCACAGTGGTTAGCGCGCTCGCAAGCAAGAAGACTTGGTTTCAATTCCTGGGCTGGGGTAAACCTAAGGCAAGTTTCCTTACTCCACACGTCTCTGTTTACCTAGCAGTAAGTAGGAAGGATTATTACACCCAGAAATCAATCGGCCAATTGACTAACAACCAGGTTGTTCCTACTAACTGCTAGGTAAATAGAGGCGTGCGGAGTAAGGAAACTTGCCTAAGGTTTTGCCCCACCTGGGAATTGAACCAGGTCCTCTCGCTTGCGAGACAAGTACTCTATCCAATATGCTACAGGACTCCTCAAACTTCAATGATGTGCTTCTCCTCTGTGTTGCAGGAGTTAGTGTTTCACCTGTCCTTTCACACACACAGACACATACATACAGACACACACCAGGCACCACACACACGTCTTTAACACTGTTAAACACACCCCATTGGAGTACCTTGGTTTTCCCCTCGAGGGCACGGCTTCCTGTAATCATCTTGCTCAGGTTGTGGCCATTCAGTGACCACATTGTCTTGTAAAATTCTTCAAAACGTTCCACAACTGACTTTTTACTGCTCAAACCCAGGCTCTCCAGCTGCCTGAGCAAAACCTGGAGAGAGGCCAAAACACCACCGGTCCAGAGTGCTGAACGACACCCTCCTCTCTCTCCCACTTCCCACCCAAGATGCAAACTCAACCTCCCAGCATCAAACACCACCGCCCCCCGCACCGAACAACACCCCCGCACCGATCACCCCCCCCCGCAGCGAACACCACCCCCCGTCCGCAACAAACAAGGCTGCCTCACACAGTAACACTCTCCGATAACGTCAATAATAACAATGCTTCATGGCAGGAGGATATCTCAAAACGCTTCACAAGAGTCACTGTCAAGTGTAGTGACTGTGTACTTTGTAGGCAGAAGCAGAAGCCAATCTGCGCACAGCCATGTCTAAACAACCAGCCATGGAGTGAGTGACCAATTTTTCTGGGGGATTGTTGGCCAGGACACTGCTGTTCTGACAGATTGCCTCGTTATCTCTCTGTCTCTCTCTCTCTCTCTGACTTTTTCCCTTTCTTTCCCCCTAACTTTTTTTACTCTCTCTCTCTCCCCCCACTTCAACTTTCTCTCTCTCGCTCTCTCTCTGCCTTTCTCCTCATCTCTAACCCTAGCTGTATCTGTAACCCGCCCCTCTCATTACTCTGCTGCATGGCTGGTGCACCAAGAGATTTATTCACAGCCCTGATGAACGGACACACTAACAATCAACAGCTACAAAGCTTACCTCCATCCCGAAATAAGTCTGCACGTTGTTAGCCCGATCCAGACAGTCCAGGCAGTTAGTCCTGTGTGTTCCTGTCTGATAACTTTAAGTAAACCACAATTAATACTAAGGAGGCTGCTTGCTTTCCTTCAGCCTGACCTCAGTGTACAGTTACCAGCCTGACAGCTCTATGTAGCAGTCACAGGCTACAATTCCCAAGAGCTCCCAAGCTCCGAAGAAGGGAGCCAGTGGCAAGTCACAAACTGCTACCAGTTGTGACTTATTGCACTGCCGAGGAACCAAGAAACAAATGGAGGCCATTTAGCCCATCGAGACCATTTCTTCTAATAATAATCCTTGCATTTGTTAGAGCACATCGTCACAGCGTCTCAAAGTGCTTCACGGGATACACTGTAAAGTGTAGTGACTGTGTAATTTGTGGACAAAAACAGCCACCAGTTGCGCACAGCAGTGTCCCACAAACAGCCATGGTGTGAGTGACCAATTTTATTTGGGGGATTGTTGGCCAGGACACCAGGTGAAACTCCCTTCATTTTCGATTAGTGCCATGGGCTCTTTAACATCCACCTGAACAGGCAACACCACTCCCAGAGCTGTATTGGAGCATCAGCTTAGACTGTGTGATTCCAAGTCCTGACGTGGTTGAAGCCACAACCTTCTGACTCAGTAGTGCTTTATTGGATTAGGATGTGATGGATCGGGGAGTGTATGGAAAGGGAAGTTAGCCTCTTTCATCCCAGCGATCCAGGTCAGTTAACAGAGTGAGGACTGTGCACAGACTGAAGTGGAAGGAGAAAACATTGAGGACACTTACCAAGGACTTATGTTCTGGCCACTGGTGAAGAAACAGAACTCCTTCAGTGAGTGTTGCACTTGAGGTCTCAGCAAGCTCTCCAGTCTCCCTTCCTTCACACAGTGATGATAGTCAAAGTTTATCATTGGGATTTGAGATGCATGAGCCGAGGCCCAGACCAGCTTCTGAACAGAGACAAAGAGAAAACACATCACTTGCTGCCTCTCTGTGTGATTATCAGATAACAATAATCCTTGCGTTTGATGCATAGAACAATAAATATTTTTACAGCACAGAAGGCAGCCATTTGGCCATCATGTCTGTGCTAGCTCTTGTAAGAGTAATAGTATAATAATAATCCTTGCATGTGATATTGTGCCTTATCACATCATTGAGACGTCTCAAAGTGCTTCACAGAATATACTGCAAAGTGAATTGACTGTGTATTTTGTGGGTAAAACATGGCAGCCAATTGCCTACAGCAGTGTGAATTGAGTGAACACATTTTGTTTTTGAGGGATTACTATCCCTGGAAAGCGATCTGCAATCGACTAACAACCAGGTTCCTACTTACTGTTAGGTAAGCAGAGGCATGTGAAGTAAGGAAACCTGCCTAAGGTTTCGCCCCTCCTTGGAATCGAACCTGGGTCCTTTTGTTTGCGAGGCGAGCACGCTAACCGCTATGCTACGGGACTCCACAATGGTGGTGTGGCAGGTGGGATAACATGAAATGGGCCAAACCTCTCTTATGATCTTACAATAATAATAATCCTTGCATTTGATATAGCGCTTTTCATGTTTTCAAGACGCCTCAAAGGGCTTCACAGAATATACTGTAAAGTGAATTGACTGTATTTTTTGTGGACGGCCGAAACACGGCAGCCAATTGTGCACAGCAGTGTCCCACAAATAGTCATGGATTGAGTGACCAAAATTATTTTTATTTATTTTTTTCTTGAGGGTTTATCATCAGGCGTGTGATTAAAGTAAACTTGCCCAAGGTTTCGCCCTGCCAGGAATCAAACCCAGATCGCTCGCTTGCCAGGCGAGTGCTCTAACCACTGAGCTACATAATTTATGAATGGTTGTTGCTCAGGGAGATTATCAACACCACCACCCCCACACTGAGGGTCTGCAACAAGACTGACCCGAGACTCAGCCAGACTTCTACCTCATTAGTGGGACGTTCAATACAGTACAATTCACATTAATATAGCACTTTTCACCAGAGAGTACATCTCACATCAGGAGGCTGTCCTTTAGGTTACCAAGATGGTTTGTTGCCGTTCTTCTCATACCTTAAAAGCTCTACTGAGGACCTCCTCTCCTCCCTTCATCCTCAACAGATTGACAATCACTTGGTTTCCGTAATGCTCATTCAGCAAAGTCAAATGTCTGGAATGAGAAAATGATGGTCACTGATTGTGGGTGGTTTTGTTCTGCAAAACATTCAATAAATAATCAGCAACAAACATAAGGACACCTAGATTACTGTGTACAGCTGTGGTCAGGCCACACCTGTACAGGTCTGATCACCGAGATATAGTGGGGTCTTTACACCTTAGAGAGAGGAGAGAAACACATCTGACCCCAGTGTTAAGGGATGAGCTACGAGCAGATTAGATAAGTAGAGTTCTTCAGCCTTGGAAAGAGGAGAGCTCACAGGGATTCTAAGTGGGAATGCAAATGCATTTCTTCACACAGAGTGGAATTAACAACTGATTACTTCAATAGACTCATTGAAGAATCAGCTTAATGCTTAATGATGGGAGGAGAGTTGGCTGGGTAACTAGAACGATGAGATTTGATGGAACAAAGAGCCATCTTCATCCGAACCTCTCGTCATCTTATGAATAGCTCTTGTCTTGTGAACGGAGGAACCATTTGAGTTAAGTGACCAAATTAAAAAACCCTGAACGATATGGGTCAGTGATTAGGGAAAAGGCCGGTCAATGGGGCTGACTTGTTTTCTCTTGCACAGAGCAGCACGGACACCATGGGAGAACAGCCTTTTTCTGCGCTGCAAACATCGCTGCTTCCAATGGTAGACCTCGAGTGGGTCAGGAGTATTTTCCTATCGTGAACATGAAAGCTCCACATGTCATTTTCCATCACCTAATGGGCTCTTTAACTTACGTCATTCGTGAAAGGATTTCTAAAAGAATGTCCTGTACATTGAGTCACACAGAGTGAATGCAGTCCAGAAGCAAGCCATTCAGCCCAACTTGTGGTGGTTAGACGCCACACAAGCTTCCACCCTTCTATTCTCCTCTCATCCCACCTCAGTGGGACCACACTCTTTTTTGTTCGAGTCTAGCTTGTCTCACTCTCGTCTCTGAGTCAGAAGGTTGTGGGTTCAAGTCCCACATTGGGATATTAATTCACATAATCTAAGCTGATGCTCCAATGCAGCACTGGGGAGTGTTGCATTGTCGGAGAAGCATTACTTCAGACAAGACATTAAACCAAGATCCAGTCCGCCTGTTCAGGTGGATATTAAACATTCCATGGCACTGTTCGGAATGAGAAGGGAGTTTCTTTCTTCCCCGGTGTCCTGGCCAACAATCCCCCAAATAAAATTGGTCACTCACTCCATGGCTGTTTCTGGAAGATAAGGTGCTATATCAAATGCAAGAATTATTATTATTAATTTGACTCCAGTTCGTCTCTGGATACGGCTTCTCCTCCTGTCCCCACATGGTCACCTATGGAGTACCCAAGGCTCCTATTTTTCATTGGGTTTACAGATACCCGCAGGCATGAAGATTAAGATGGCTCAGAACCCCTTCTCACCCAGCCTTTGGGCAACAAAATTACAAACTCAGTCATGTCATCTGCGGGGTCAACTTCCACAATTGCCTCCGCTCATATCTACCTCAGCTAAAACTCTTTTCCCCTTATCCTCTTTCAACATCTCATACCTCGATTCCTCTAATGCCCTCCTCACTGATCTCCCCAGCTCCACCACTCATAAAATTCAATTAATTCAAAACTCCACCACCAGTGTCATCATCCGCACTAATCTCCATACCCCCATCACTCCAGTCCTTGCCAGGCTTCACTGGTTTCCTGTCGCTTACACCCCACTTCTCTATCGATCTTCTTCATTCAGCTTGCCTTCCGCACATCCCTCGATCCCTTCTGCTCCACCACCAGTATCCGTGCTTTCAGCCACTACGCACTGAATTTTCTGCCTTAATCCCTCACCTTTCCCCCTCTTTGCCCATCTTCAGTTGTGGGTAAAAAGCAGCAGTCAGTTGCGCACAGCAGTGTCCCACAAAAGTCGTGGATTGTTTATTCAGCCCCAATTTATTCATTTATTTTTGCGGGATTATTATCCCGGGAAAGCGATTCACCAATTGACTAACAACCATAGTTAGTTTCTTTATTAACAAGTGGTTAGCTTCTTTATTCTTCATACCAAAGTCAATCACTTCACGTTACCCTGTATTAAGTGTCTGCCAGGCTCACCTCGGGTGCCCAGCCAGCAGCATGTTGCATTTATGTAAATTTCTACAACTCACATTGCGATTCATTTGTGGTTGGTAGAAACGGGCACAAATAGTGCCTTTCACATCGGGAGGACGTCCCAAAGCATTTGACACTGCCTGCCAGACTCCCAAGCTGAGGGTGGGGAGGGTAGTCAAACCTGGAGACGGACCTTGAACTGGGGGGTTGGGGGGGGACGAAGTGGGTGAGTTGGAGGGAGGGAGTAAAAAGGGAGCAAAACAGTGTGTTCATCAGACGGATCATGGAATCATCTTTATCCCAATATGTAGCAATGTTCTCCTTTCACAATCTGTCAATCTGAATACATCATCTCCCACACCACATGATTGATGTTCATGGTAAACAGTGCCTGGGGGGTCTGGTTACAGAGACGTTGTGATCAAATGATCCCAAGACTCCTGGACATACAGAACAGGTGCAGGTGGTTGTTACCTGTCAAACGCTGGGGCGTTTGCCTCAAGTCCACGGGTCAGCCGGAGGTGACGGAAGCCAACCTAGAAACATACGTAAAATAAGCCAATGTCAGTTGGTAGAACCATGTCACACTGAATGGGGAGATTTAATCACACCGTTCCAACCAACAATCTCCCAGATTAAAAATAAGTCATTCATTTTCTGGCTGTTTGTAGCACATTGCTGGGCGCAAATTGGCTGTCGCTTTTGTTTACAAAATACACAATCACTGTACTTCACTGCATACAGTGTGAAGTGTATTGAGATGTCCTCCTGATGTGAAAGGAGCCTTTGCGTTTGTCCAGTATAGTACACATTATGTTACAATGGGAGGTGTACAATAATAATAATCCTTGCATTTGATATTTCGCCTTATCACGTTTTCAAAGAGCTTCACAGTAAAGTGAATTGACTGCATATTTTTGTGGGTGAAACGCAGCAGCCAATTACACACAGCAGTGTTCCACAAACAGTCTATGGATTGAATGACTAAATTATTATTATTTTCTATTGAAGGGATTATTACACCCGGAAAAGTGATCCACCAATTGACTAACAACCAGGTTCCTGTTTACTATAGTACACACTGTGTTACAATGGGAGGTGTCGAGTGCAGTACACACTGTGTTACAATGGCTCCTCTCTGCTGAAGACCTTTCTTTTCGACCGCGCCTTTGGTCACCATCCCCGCCCCGCTCACCCCAGCTCAGTCCTGGGATCCGAAACTGTAAAGCGCTCTGAGACGCTGTCCGGCGTGGAGGGCGCTATATAAATTGTTGTTGTTGTATACACTGTCTCATTACCTGCCCTCCGCACTGCTCCCAAAATAAAGGGACAGACCCTCGCACTTGGACAAAGGATGAAACCGAGTCGTCCAAATAAATCACCTGAAAAACACAGACCACGTCATTAGATGAGACCTGAAACCCTTCAGTTGGGCGTTAGACACGTGCTCACCGGGCTCAGTGTCTCCAAACCAGACAGAGACCCAGACTGAGGGACGCACCCTACTTATCAGGCACAGACTGGTGACAGCCAAGACGTGGGGACCGTAGAGAATGCATTGGGGTAACCACTGGAGTCTAACCAGCTAAAGCCACGTAGCTTGCCATTGATATCGTTTTCTGTCAAGCTTTCCCGCTGCTTATCCAGCTAGGACCACACTACCCATTAGGGCTTTCGGTTGCAGGGTTAACAAGAGCTGAGTGGGAGGATTCCCTACCCCCAGAGACCAATCTTCCCCTCCGCTTCCTGCCGATGAGCCAGGCTAGCTATTACTTGTTCCTCAGGATGTTTCCTGCTCCCCAATGTGCTTATTGAGTGTGTGTTACCTGCTCCACGGCGTGTTTGTTGTATGTTTGTTACCTGTTCTGTTTCGAAGAAATTGGAGACGTGGCCCTTGTCGTCAATGCCTAGGTGGTGGTAACGGCCGCCTGCTCCCTCACAGCTGAGCCGGGAGATCAGACACGCCTTGGCTTTCTTGTCGTTGGCGTAGACAGTCCGAATTTCCACTGACCCCACCGTCACCTTCAGCAGCCAATCCCAGCAATTCACCTGGTACTGACGCAGCAGAAGGTGTAATGAGTAGTTCCTGTAATCACCACAAGAGACACTGAGTTTTTTTTGGCCAGCCGCATGTCTGACACATGCGGAAACCCATCACCGTGCTTAACAGTATCCAAACCAAACTGAGATTTCCATGCATCCCACCTATATATGGAAATCCCAGAGAGAGATTGTTGGAATGGAAAGCTCTCCCTGGAGGGAAGCCTCCTGCTTACCTAATCCCAGAAAGTACTAGGCGCAGGTTGCCAAGAGCAAGGGCTTGGGGACCCCAGAGTGTGATTTTTGTTAAGTAACAGTATCAAGGGATATGGGGTAAAGGAGAGTAATTGGAGTGATCTAACAGAATGGCGGAACAGGCTTGAGGGGCTGATTAGCCTACTCCTGTTCTTGTGTGCCCTATGTTCTTGTGTGTGTGTTGGGGTAACTGCTGGAGTCTAACCAGCTAAAACCACATAGTTTGTAATTGATATCACTATCTGGCAAGCTTTCCCACTGCTTGCCCAGCTATGATCACTCTAATTGTTAGGGCTTTGGCTTGGAGGGTTAACAGGAGCTGAATGGGATGACTCCCTGTCCCCAGTGACTGATCTGCCCTCCAGTTCCTGCCGATGAGCCAGGCTGGGTTGTGTTGTCATCAGCAGTGCCCCTGGAATACAGCGGACCCACCTGGCTCAGGAACAGGACTAGAGACCGTCACAGAGGGTGCACTCGATGAGAGAGACTAAGAGGAGCGGCCACGTACTCTCCTTCCCCATCTCCCCACACTGAGCTCTTCCACCCACACTGAGCCTCTCCCCCGTAACCCCCCACACTGAGCCCCTCCCCTGTAACCCCCATACTGAGCCCCTACCTCACACTGAGCCCCTCCCCACACTGAGCCCCTTCCCCGTAAACCCCCATACTGAGCCCGTCCCCCATAATCCCCAGACTGAGCTCCTCCCTATAACCCCCACACTGAGCCACTCCCCCACACTGAGTGGAGCGTTGCTGTACAAAAACAATGTTCACACTGAATAACACATGGTTGGATCTCATCCTCAGTTTCCATTCATGCAAATTTGATCAAACCTCTGTTCTCAGATGCCACTCTCCCAAATGTCCAAACTAACACAGATGGATTGAGTGGAAATCCGGCCTCCATCAGGTGCATTATTTACATGCTGCTCATTAAACAAAGCAGAGAGCCAATTTCCTCATCATCCCAGAGCACAACCGAGGTGGATAGATTTTTTGTGAGGTAAGAGTATCAAGAGTATAAGGGTATAGGGAAGTCAGAAGAAACTTTTTTTACCCAGAGTGGTGGGAATGTGGAACTTGCTACCACAAGGAGTAGTTGAGGCGAAGAGCGTAGATGCATTTAAGAGGAAGCTAGATAAGCATGTGAGGGAGAAAGGAATAGAAAGTTATGCTTGAAGGCTTAGTTGAGGAAGGGCAGGAGGAGGCTCATGTGGAGCAGAAACACCGACATACACCAGTTGGGCCGAATAGCCTGTTTCTGTACTGTAATTCTACGTAAGGGATATGGAGCAAAAGCAGGTAATTGGAGTTGAGTTACGGATCAGCCATTATCTTCACCACTACCGCTCTGCTTTTTGTCTCCCAGCTAATTTCCGATCCATCACTGTTCCTTTAATTCCATGGGCTACAAGTCTATTATGTGGCACTTTATCAAATGTTTTTTGAAGGTCCATATACACAACATCAACTGCATTGCCTTCATCAATCCTCTCTGTTACTTTATCGAAGAACTCAATCAAGTCAGTCAGACATGATTTGTTTTTAACAAATCCGTGTTGGCTATTATTTATTAACCTATGCTTTTCCAACTGAAGTGTTTTGGATGAATGGAATTTGGGGTCATGCAAATTATTGGAAAATTCTTAAATTTAGTTACAACTCGGGAGCCGGGTTTCTGTAGTTGTGTTTAAATTTCCGGTGTCTAACATGGTGTCACCGTGTTTAAGAGTCTTCAAACCAGAGGCTCTGAGCACCAGTCTCGCAGCAGAGACCGGTCTCCACACTGCTGCACCAGGCTCAATCGTTTCCGTTTGTCCTGAAAGGAAAGGAATGCACACCGTCCTCCTAGCGGAGACACATCCGGGTTAGCTAATCTCGGGGAGTATCATCACAGGTTGGTGAGAGGCGAGGCTTGGTACGATCAGGCAGTGCTGGAGTTTAATCTGCTAAAACCAGGCAGCAATGGCAAGCTTGTCCAGAGAGAACCACCCCATTCACTGAGGCTTCAGAATAAAAACAAAACCCAACGTGTTGCAATTTTTGTACATCGGGACATTCTGATTTGACAAAATCTGGTCTGCCATTTGCAAACACAAATGTAAGCGATCTGTTGACAAGGAATTGTAATAAAATCCTCCAGTGATTAGGGTAGGGCTTAATTGCAGCTATGTGCCTCTCCTTTGTGCCTGGGGCTATTGGGTTTGCCTCAGTGGGAGTGCACTGGAAATGGCATCTTTGAACAAGCACCGCTCTCAATGAAAGATCATTAACAATCTAGGCATCAGAGCAGGTAGTCTCGATGTTGGTGGTATGGGCGTGGGGGGGGGGTGTAGCGCATTGTTGGGGATGCCGTCCTTCAGATGAGACTATGAGACTGTGCCTGATCAGGTGGACAGTAAATATAGTATATAGTATAATCCTTGCATTTGATACAGTGTCTTATCGTCCTTCAGATGAGACTTTAAACCAAAGTCCTGTCTGGCTATTCAGTTGGATGTTAAAGATTCCATGACACTATTCAAAAAGAGAAGGGAGTTCATCTCTCACGGTGTCCTGGCCAACAATTCCCCAAATAAAAATTGGTCACTCACTCCATGGCTGTTTGTGGAACACTGCTATGCACAAACTGGTTGCCTCGTTTCGCCCACTAAATACAGTCGATCAAATTTACAGTATATCGTGTGAAGCAACAGTACCCTTAAATCCACTTTACAATATATTCTGTGACGTGCTTTGAGACATCTCAACCACGTGATAAGGTGTCATATTGGAGTCCTGTTGCTCAGTGGTTCGAGCACTCATCTCGCAAGCGAGAGACCTAGGTTCAATTCCTGGCAGGGAGAAACATTGGGCAAGTTTCCTTACTCCACATGCCTGTTTACCTAGCAGTAATTAGGAACCCGATTGTTAAGTTTACTGGAGGAACGCTTTTCCGGGGGTAATAACTTTTTCAAAAAATAACAAGTGGTCACTCAATCCACGACTGTTTATGGGACCCTGCTGTGTGCAATTGGCTGCCGCATTTCGGCCACAAAGTATACAGTCAATCCACTTTACAGTATATTCTGTGAAGTGCTTTAAGATGGCTTGAAGATGTGATCAGGTACTATATGAAATGTAAGAATTATTATATATCAACTGCAAGGATTATTATTATTATTATTGATATCGTTGTCTGGCAAACTTTCCCAGTGCTTGTCCAGCCAGGACCACCCTGCCAGTTAGGGCTTTGACTTGCAGGATTAACAGGAGCTGAGTGGGAGGAGTGTTTTTGTGTGTTCATCATTTCCTGGTAGAACCAGATCCAACTCACCAGAAAAACCTGCTCCCGGCTTCATGGTCTTTCTCCAGCTGCTTCTGTGCGCAGAGATTCAGGTCAAATGTCGATCCAGCAGCTGATGCAAAATAAAACATGCCCGAATTGAAGAGCTTCCTGAGGGTGATGACCCGCTCCTCCTCACTTGTCTCCTCCTGGAGGGGCACGAATTCGCTCGCTGTGATCTTACAGATGTCGGTGTCACGGATCCTCCCGACCGACGTACACCCCGTCACCAGCACCAGGAAACACAGCCTGGAATCACCTGCAACAGAGAGCACGCAGGACTAAGCTACAGGACTCCGGTACGGCACCTTCAAGACGTCTCAAAGCGTAATGGTTGGCCCGCTCGCCTTGCAAGCGAGAGGACCCGGGTTCAGTTCCTGAGTGGGGCATGTGAGGCGGCACTTCCTCTATTTCTCTGTGAATGAACACATTCACTTCATAGAGCGGACCAGCCCATACAGTGAAGGAGCGGAGCAAGCACTCACCTGCGGAAGATTAAGGGCACAGCAAACTAAACCTAACTTTAAAACTGCTTCAAGTGAATTGGTTCACTTGGTAGCCCTCTTGTCTCTAAGTCTCTAAGTCAGACGGTTGTGGGTTCAAGCCCCACATTGGAGACTTTAAGCTCACAGTCTAGGCTGACGCTGCAACACAGTGCTGGGGGGTTGGGGTTGTGGCATTGTCGGAGGCACCTGCCTTCGGATGAGACGTTAAATCAAAGTCTCGTCTCTGCCTGTTTAGATGGACATTCACGATCCAACAGCACAACTGGAAAAGAGAAGGGAGGTTCTCTCTCCCGGTATCCTGGCCAACTGGACTACCCCCATCTCACAAAATACAGTCACTAAGCTTTACATTTAGTTTCCTGTGAAGTGCTTTACGTTTCCTGTGAAGTGCTTTGAGAGGTCATTGTGATGTGAAAGGTGCTGTATCTAAATGCTAGGAGTATTAGTTTTAATACTATCTGTGGCCACTGAAACAAAGCTCTCACTGTTGGGTCTCAAAACGCGTCTGTTTGACCGTGCTTTCGGTCATCTTTCTCCTCCCTACCCCCTCGGCTCCCACCCCCAGCTCCGGTACCCAGCCAGAATTCTCAAGGGCTTTGAGACATCTTCCCAACATGAAAGAAGGGGCTATCTGTGCAAGTGTAAACTCTATTGTAAATGCCGGAGAGAAGTTGTCAAACTAGTTACTACAGTAAAGATTGGGTAAGAGGTCGGGGTGGGGAGAAATCACAAGCACAAGTGAGCCCCTCTCTCCCCCCACTGGTCACTTTCTTCCCCTCCAGTGGAGTCTGCACAACTGAGCAGCACTGTGAGAAACGTGACACAGCTCAGTGAGCGTGGGTCAGCCTTCACAGACCACATGCCTGACAGATAACAACAACCCTGGCATTTGATATAGCGGCAATGACATGGTGCATCACAGGGAACTGCTGTTGAATGCAGTGACTATATTTTCTGTGTGAAAGCAACAACAAGATTATATTTGTATAGCGCCTTTCACGTCGGGAGGACGTCCCAAGGCGCTGGACAGAGTACAGCATTTCAGCATGCAATTTGGGCACTGAAATATCCCACAAACAGACGTGAAGTGAGTAACTAATTTTATTTGGGGGATTGTTGGCCAGGATACCAGAAGAGAGAAATTCGAATAGTGCTGCAGGATCTTTAATATCCACCTGAACAGACACAGACGGGACCTCAGTTTAACGTCTCATTCGAAGGACAGCACCTCTGACAATGCAGAGCTCCCCCCAAGCACTGCAATGGAGTGGTCTGACGTGAAAGGCAATATATAAATGCAATTTGTTGTCGTCGTGTCAGCCTAGGCTGTGAGCTCAAAGTCCCCGACATGCGGTTTGATCCCACGACTTGTGTCTCAAATTTGTAGGTGAGTCGAACACAATTCTGTGTTGTCTGAGATCGACGAGTAATCTCAGTTACCGACAAGCCTAAACTTGCTTTGAACACAGCTGAGAATCCATAATAAGCATTGATACTCCTCAAACATCAACACTCACACACTGCGCTCACACAGAGCATTAGTACTCAGACATGCCGCATGCTCACTGAGCATTAATACTCAGACCCACTGAACCCATTCTGAGCATTAATACTCTGAACCAAATATTAATATTCACCACCTAACCTCACCAAGAGCATTAATACTCACCAACTGCACTCACACTGAGCATCAATGCTCACCAACTGAACTCGCTCTGAGCAATAGTACCCACCCACCGAATTCCCACTGAGCATTAATACTCTCGCCCATTGCATTCACTCTGAGCATTATTACTCACCAACAGACCTCACTGTGAACATTAATACTCAGACCCACCAGCGTGGGTGACTGAGCAGTGACTGTGATGATCACACTGGCTTACTCACCACTCTTGATTTGGAGAACTCCCAAACAGCCATAGGCTTCCCAGAGCTTGACAAACTGCGCCTTCAGCCCGTCCTTCTCCACTGGTGCTGGGAAAGGCAACAAAAATCCCATCACATCTGTGATCACAGAGTCCGGACATCTCAAGAGTGCCGAGTTCAGGGCTCCAAGACACAGTGGCCTGGGTCAGCTGATCCCACTCCAGACTCCAAATCAGCAGGTTGTGGGTTCAAGCCCCATGTCAGGATTTTGAACTTGCAGAGTCTAAGCTGACGGTCCAGTGCAGAGATTGTGGGAGCTCTGCATTGTCGCAGGTACCATCCTTTGGATAAAGTTAAACCGAGGCCCCATCTGTGCCTGTTCAGACAGACGTTAAAGATCCCCCATAAAAGAGCAGGACGTTGGTAGTAACCGGGCTGACACAGAGTGACAGAGTGACACAGAGAAACACCTAGTGACTGAGCCAGGCTGACACACACCTGGTGACTGAGCCAGGCTGACACATACGGTGACTGAGCCAGGCTGACACATACGGTGACTGAGCCAGGCTGACACATACGGTGACTGAGCCAGGCTGACACATGGTGACTGAGCCAGGCTGACATATACGGTGACTGAGCCAGGCTGACACACACCTGGTGACTGAGCCAGGCTGACACACACCTGGTGACTGAGCCAGGCTGACACACACCTGGTGACTGAGCCAGGCTGACACACACCTGGTGACTGAGCCAGGCTGACACACACCTGGTGACTGAGCCAGGCTGACACACACCTGGTCAGGGAACAGATGTTGGGTAGAAAGGAAAACTGGGGATGGAACCTCATGTCTAAGGTGCGCACAGGTTCGGTGAGTATGTGGGAGAGACTCCGGGGAGGTTGAGGAGTTCAGACCTGCGGGAGAGAAGACGTTGACGGGGGCCAAAGAGTATGGCTCACGTCTTGCTGACACACAGTGACTGAGCCGGGCTGAGCACACACACACGGAATGAGCTGTGGGCTGATACACCCACACACACACACACAGCGACTGGGCTGATACAGGCTGACACAGACTGACGCACAGTGACACACAGTGACTGCTCTGGCCGCTGTACTTACAGAGAATGGCCACAGCTCCGGACTGGAAGAGGAGAGCCTCCTCTCTGCTCCTGCTCTCCAGCAGCGCACTGCACTGCCCGGGCGGCGAGCTCACATACACACGGAAACCTTTGACCAGAGCCATCGCCTCCTCATCACCAGCAGCGGCTCCTGCAGCTCACACTCACTCACTCACTCACACACACACTCACACACACCAACTCTTACACTCACTACCTCACTCACTCACACTAACTCACAATAACTCACTCACACTAACTCACTCTCACTAACTCTCACACTAACTCACTCACTCTCACTCACACACTAACTCACTCACTCTCATTCACTATCTCATTCACTCTCACACTAACTCACTCACACACTAACTCACTCACACTAACTCACTCACTCTCACTCACACACTAACTCACTCACACTAACTCACTCACTAACTCACTCACACTAACTCACTCACTCTCACACTAACTCACTCACACTAACTCACACACTAACTCACTCACACTAACTCACTCACACTCACTCACTCACTCATTCACACAAACTCTCACTCCCTCACACTTACGGCAAACTTCTAAAACCTGTCCTGTTGCCGAGTAAACCCTTTGAGAGTCCCCACTCCCCCCCCACTCCCCCCCCTGGGGCACAGACCCCCACTCCACCCCCCCCCGGGGCACAGACCCCCACTCCCCCCCACTCCCCCCCCCGGGGCACAGACCCCCCACTCCCCCCCACTCCCCCCCCGGGCACAGACCCCCCACTCGGGGCACAGCGCCTGTCACCGCTCTGCGGTTCACACACAATCCAAACTCCCGTCGCTCTTCCCCCGAAGCCGCGGATCACTTCCAAAGAGATTCCCCCCCGGAAGTCATTAAAATGTAGGAAATTCCCCAGTCATTCATTCACACTCACTCTCACTCACTTACACACTCACTCTCACTCACACACTCACTCTCACTCACTTACACACTCACTCTCACTCACTCACACACACACTAACTCTCACTTACACTCTCACTCACACACTCACTCTCACTTACACACTCACTCTCACTCACTCACACACTCACTCACTCACACACACTCACTCTCACTCACACACACTCACTCTCACACACTCACTCTCACACACTAACTCTCACACACACTAACTCTCACTCACTCACACACACTAACTCTCACTTACACACTCACACACACTAACTCTCACTCACACACACTAACTCTCACTCACACACACTAACTCTCACTCACACACACTAACTCTCACTCACACACACTAACTCTCACTCACACACACTAACTCTCACTCACACTCACTCTCACTCACACACTCACTCTCACTCACACACACTAACTCTCACACACACACTAACTCTCACTCACTCACACACTCACTCTCACTCACACACTCACTCTCACTCACACACACTAACTCTCACTCACACACACTAACTCACTCACACACACTAACTCACTCACACACACTAACTCACTCACACACACTAACTCTCACTCACACACACTAACTCACTCACACACACTCACACTAACTCTCACTCACTTACACACTCACTCTCACACTAACTCACTCGCACTCACTCACACTAACTCACTCAGAGGAATAAGGTGCCCCCTCTCCCTGCCCCACTCCCTCCCTGTCCCTCTCCCCTCCTGACCAGGTGGTTTCAGCAGGAGCTCAGACACCAGGAAGTGCAGCTGCAGATTCTTGGGTGAAGTAACTCGACTCCCCACCTTTGCATTCCTGACTCGTTTCGCCCTGAGACAGACACAGCGCCATCCACGGGTTCCAAGTTTGCATCTGTCTGTCTGTCTGTGTCTGTGTCTGCTGTAATTCACCAGCTGCACACATGGCTCTCACCCCCATTTCTTTCCCTGCAAAGAGCACTGACTCACAACTGAACGATGATGATGATGATAATTGTATTTGGAAGGACTTCATTGCATTCAGTACACAAGTGTTTGATTGCGTTCAGACGTCCGCAGGATGGGCGCGCGTGCTCGTGCGTGAGCGCCATCGTTTTCATGGCTGATCGTGATCCGTGGCCACGTTCCTTCCCATCTCCCGTAACGCGGTGGAGCGACGAGGCTAAGTGTATCTCTTGACGGCTTGTTTCAGCTCCTCTGTCGTCTCACACCACTGTTTTGTAACAGAGGGTAACAGGACTTTGGGAACACGATGTAGATTACAAGAAGGCAGTCTCGGTCTCTCCCTCACTGACTTTCCAATGTAAGTCAACAAGGGGAACAAAGCGACATGATAAGGTGCTATATCAAGTGCAAGGACTATTATTATTAATAAAGGTCCAACCTTAACTGCTCCAAGGAGTGGCCAGGCATTCAGTCATTATGTCCTTAACTTCTGGAATCCCTGCCTCCACCTTGCCCCCTCTTTAATTCCCACCTTAAGACCGTCCTTCCTCTTTAACCGTGCCTATGGTCACCACCACCCCGTCGCTTCCTGTCCAACCTCGCCTTTGCGCAGCGCTCTGAGACGTCATCCCTATGTGAAGGCAGACAAAACTTTCAACCAAGGTCCCACCTGCCTGTTCAGGTGGATGTTAAAGATCCCATGGTGCTATCTGAAAAGAGAAAGGAGTTTCTCTCTCTGTGTGTCCTGGTCATTAACAATCCCCCCCCAAAAATAATTGGTCACTTGCTCCGCAACTGTTTGTGGGACACTGCTGTACTCAACTGGTTATAGTGTTTCGCCCACAAAATACACAGTAACTTCACTTAATAGTATATTCTGTGAAGCGCTTTGAGGCGTCTCAACGACGTGATAAGGCGCTATATCAAATGTAAGAATTAATATATCAATGCAAGTTATTGTAACTATTACAAAAAAGAAAAGATTGGAATTTTTTTTTAAATTGACCAATTAATTTAGAAGTATTTAGAGGGATTCTTAATTTATAACTGGTGGCCCTGGGACCACCCTACCCTTTAAGGCTTTGGCCTGCAGGGTTAGTAGGAGGTGAGTGGGAAGAATCCCTGCCGCCAGTGACCAGTCTGCCCCTCCAAGTCCTGCCGCTCTACCCCCACCCCCTGAGCGCTCCCCCCCACCCCGAATTGAAAACTCAATAAATTATTCACTGTTAAGCGCTCTGAGATGCTACCCTGCATGGAGGACGCTATATACGTGCAAGTTGTTGTTGTGTTGTAGTCACTGAATACTCGAGAGAACATTGGACAGAATCAATACAAATCCTGAGCTTGGTGTTCAATGGGAATTAGACACCTGCTCAAAGGAAGTGAGACGCACACTGAATCGTTAAATTACTGAATAAAATACAGGGGCTTAAACCGTTCTCTAGTACTGTAGACAATTCCAGGCAATGAGCAAAACTTCTAGAATCCCTAATAATAAAACCCTCCTACACCAAAATTGCACAATAATATTAATCCTTGTATTTAATATAGCACCTTATCAAATCGTTCAGACGCCTCAAATGCTTCACAGAATAGATTGTCAAGTGGATTGAGTGTATATTTTGTGGGCAAAATACAATATTTCATAAAATATAAAATAAATACATTTTAAATTTATCGATTTGAATAAATTTTAATGCAAAATTAAAATGTATTTTAATTTAGTTTAATTAAACTTAATAAATAAAATTTAAATGTAAACATTTCATTAAAAAAAAACCTGAATGTAAACCTAACCTAATCCCAAAACATTCCCACCCTTAAAAAGTGCTCTGATGCTAAAACGCTAAGGTGAACATTGAGCCACAGCTACCAGCCACTGTGTTCTCAATCAGTTTAACGTTTGAGCAGTATGCCGGAAGTTTGTGGCAGCACGGTTTTGCCAATACTGTCCGGGAAGGAAATTTTGAAACAGTTTTGTCTTTGCTGTTAGCATGAAGTTGAGTAACAGAGCGCTAACGTCGTGCAGAACAATAACAACTTGCATTTACATAGGGCTCCTCACGCTGGGTAGCGTTCCAGACTGCTTGACAGTGGCGGAGCACGATGGCGAACCAGAGGTAGGGTGGGGGTGACCGTAAGCATTGTCGAAGAGGAAGGTCTTCAGGTCAGGGCTTTGGTTTGTAGGGTTAACAGGAGCCGAGTGGGATGACTCCCTGACCCCAGTGACTGGTCTGCCCTTCCAAGTCCTGCCGATGAGCCAGGCTGGGTGTCATCAGCAATGTCCTGGAATACTGTGGACCAGCCTGGCTCAGGAACCAGTCTGGAGACCATAACAGTGGATAGGCTCCATTCTGATATTCCATTGCCAAGCATATCTCCTTGGAACCAATTCAGCTCCAGGAAGACGCTGTTTACAAAACCTCAAGGAAGACAAACAACCATTTGAGCTCAAACTCCTGGCTTTTTTTTTGATAAGCTGAGCGTCTGATTCTGATCCATACGGAAATATCCGGAGTATCCAAACCAAACTGAGATTTCCATGCATCCCTCCTACACATGGAAATCTCAAAGACAGATTGTTGGAATGGAATGCGCACTCTCTCCCTGGAGGGATATATCCTGCTTACCTAATTCTGGAAAGTATTAGGCACAGGTTGGTAAGAGCAAATGCTTGGGGACCCCAGAGGGTGTGCATTGGGGTAATTGCTGGGGATAGTGAATGCTGGGAGGATCAATTCAACATTTAATCTCACCTCAGCCTCCTTCTACACAATAATAAAAGAAACATACATTTGTGACAGTTCACACAGCTTTTGTTTTACATATATAATATATGTAATATATATATGCACACATTGGCTGCACCGACCCATTGCAGCTACGCTCGCAACCAAAGAATCCAATATGGAACGTAGATTTTTGTAGTTATGGCTGAGGTTCAGGAAAACTTTGGTATTGAGCTCTGCTATATCTTGTACAATGGTCCCCAACAACAACAACAACAACAACGAGATTCCATCTATTGAGCGCCTTTCACGTCGGGAGGACGTCCCAAGGCGCTGTACAGTTAGGTCAGGACCCGAGCAGGGGGGAAATGGTGAGGGGAGGGAAGGGAGGGAGGGAGCGAGGAGGGGATAGAGAGTTGAGAGGGGAGCTGAAGGCACGGTCAAAGAGAAAGGTCTTGAGACCGGCCTTGAAGGAGGAAAGGGAGGAGGCGGCGAAGGCACTGGGGGATAGAGTTCCAGAGCCTCGGGGCTGAGAGGCTGAAGGCCCGGCCACCGATGGTAGGGCGGTTGGGGCGGGGGATGTGGAGCAGACCGGAGCCAGAGGAACGGAGGGTACGGGCAGGTAGGTAGGGGGATAGTAGGTCGGAGAGGTAGGAGGGAGCAAGGCCGTGAATGGCCTTGTAGGTGAGGGTGAGGATCTTGAATTCGATCCTCTGGGGGATGGGGAGCCAGTGGAGGCGAGCGAGGGTGGGAGTGATGTGGTCGCGAAGCCTGGTGCGGGACAGTACACGAGCTGCAGAGTTCTGAATGACCTGCAGCTTGTGGAGGGAGGTGGCGGGAAGGCCGGCGAGGAGAGAGTTCCCATAGTCCAGCCTTGAGGTGACAAAGGCGTGGACCAGAGTTTCAGCAGCGTGAGGGGTGAGGTAGTGCCGTAGTCTGGCGATGTTCCGGAGGTGATGGAAGGCGGTGCCAGTTGTGGTGCGGATGTGAGGGAGAAAGGACAGCTCAGGGTCGAACAGAACCCGAGGTTCCTGACTGGCTTTGAGAGGTGGAGAGTGCAGCCTTGGATGCTGATGGTGTCAGCGCCTGAGGTGCGGAGGCGCTGACGTGAGCCAATCAGGAGGGCCTCAGTTTTTCGCACGTTGAGCTGAAGAAAGTTATCTCTCGTCCAGGACTCGATGTCGGACAGGCAGGCTGTCAGGACATCGGTGGTCGTGGAGTTGAGGGTAGAGGAGGAAAGGTAGAGTTGGGTGTCATCCGCATACATGTGGAAGTTAACCCCATGTCTGCGGATGATGTCACCAAGGGGGAGCATATAGAGGGTGAAGAGGAGGGGACCGAGGACAGAGCCCTGAGGGACACCGCACGAGACAGTGCGGGGGGTGGAGGAAAAGCCGTTTGTGGAAACAAAGTGAAGACGGTGGGAGAGGTACGACCTAAACCACTCAAGGACAGGGCCTTGAAGGTTGAGGTGGGAGGACAAGCGGTGGAGGAGGATAGCGTGGTCGACCGTATCGAATGCTGCCGATAGGTCGAGGAGGACGAGGAGGCAGAGGGAGCCCTGGTCACAGATGGTCAGGATGTCATTGGTGACCTTGACCAGGGCAGTTTCTGTGCTATGGGCAGCACGGAAACCCGACTGAAGGGGTTCGAATAGTGAATGGGTGGAGAGGAAAGAGCGCAGCTGGGAGGCGACAACTCGTTCCAGGACCTTGGACAGGAAGGGGAGGTTGGAGATGGGCCGGTAGCTTGATAGCTGCGACGCATCAAGGGAGGGTTTTTTCAAGGTGGGCGTGATGATGGCAGTTTTTAAGGGAATGGGGACAGAGCCAGAGGAGAGGGACAGGTTGACGATGTCTGTGATATGTGGGGCAAGGAGGTGGAGCTGGGAGATAAGGAGTGGAGTGGGGATGGGGTCAAGGGAGCAGGTGGTGGGTTTCAGGGATAGGATGAGTTTGGTGACAGAGGGTGGGGAAACGGGTACGAAGGTGTGTAGGGGAGGATGGGTAGGAGTCGGAGTGTGGGAGGGAAGGGGTGGGTGGTGGGTGGATGTTGGAGGGGAAGTGACCGCGGAGCGAATTCCCTTGATCTTGGATTCAAGGAAATCCAGCATCTCCTCGCAGTGAAGGTTGGAGGAGATGACCTGCGCGGGGTGGCGGGGGGGACGGAGGAGTTGGGATGTGGTAGAGAACAGTAGCCTGGGGTTGTCTTCGCCTCCAGGATTATCCTGGAGTAGAAGGACGATTTGGCCGAGGCTAGAGTGGAGCGGTAGATTTTGAGGAGGTCCAGCCAGATTTGTCGGTGGACCGTTAGGCCAGATTTGACCCAGGTGCGTTCAGCGGCCCGCACCTGGCTCTTCAGTGAGCGGAGGTGGGTGGTGAACCAGGGGGAGGAGCGAGAGTAGGAGACAGTACGGGAGGTGATAGGGGCAAGAGTGTCAAGTGTGGAGGAGAGGGTGTTGTGGAGGAGGGTGAGAGCAGAAGAGGGGTCGGTGAGGGTTGAAGGCCAGAGGGAGAGGAGTTCAGAGGACTCCAAGGCAGCGGTTAGGGATTGAGGGGTAACTTCTTCCAGGGGCGGTAGAAGATGGTGGTGGGTCTGGTGGAGGTGGGGAGGGGGTGGAGGTGGTGAAGGAGATGAAGTGGTGGTCGGAGACGGCCTTGTCGGTGATGGTGACATCCGAGACACTGAGGCCCCGGGTGATCACCAAGTCGAGTGGGTGGCCGTGACTGTGAGTGGGGGAGTTGATGTGGAGGGAGAGGTTGAGCGAGGAGAGCAGGGAAGAGAAATCTGAGGAGATGGAGCAGGAGGGGGTGAAGTGCAGGTTAAAGTCGCCCAGGATGATGAGGCGATCAGAGCAGAGGCAGAGAGATGTGAGAAGTGTTGAGATATCAGAGATAAAGGTGGGAGAGGTTTTAGGGGGCCGGTAGAGGAGGAGGATTTTAAGTGAGAGGAAGGAGGGGTGGGAGAGGGTGAGGTGCTCAAAAGAGGGGAAAGAGCCAGAGGAGTAGGGGGATAGGGCAAGTGGTGTCCTTGAGATAAGGGCAACACCACCGCCACCTTCGGGGATTTCAATTTGGCCATCTGCTGGATCCACTGGAATTATATACGTAAGAGGGGGAGGGGCAAAGCCCCAGCCCTAGGCTTCACCCTCTCCGCCCTCTCCCTAGTCGCTGCTAGGCCATGGCACGGATGAACCCAGAAACCCCGCGGCCTTTACTGAGCCAACCATCAGCCAACACCGACCCTACTCCGACACGGCGCCGCTCAGCCCGGGGCCGCCCAGGAGCAGTAGGAAAAGCCAACTCACTGCCGCTATCTTGTTCGCACTGCTTGGCTTCATCTGAGTGCGCGAGTGCTGCGTGCGTGCCACAGCACCGCTGGGAGTCGGCGTGGCCACCAGGTGTAACTGCAGTGTACATGTAACTGCCATACTTGTGTGATGACCTTGTTTAGGTCGTAGCTCAGCAACGATAGGAGATCCCTGAAAACAAATATTGCACTCCTAGATGCAAGAGCTTTCCGACGAGGAAAGACGCTCGTGTCTCTACGTTAATCGGTTATTGAGATCTTGGCTGATATATACACGCAGATATTGTTGTTTTATTGGTATATATATATATATATACATAAAATATAGAGTGCAGTGAAGACTCCATAAAATACACTATACCATAACAAATGGACAGGATTATAACCAATATATTTCATTCATTTCAATACTTTAATTTTAGTGCAATTTTGTGTTTCTGAGCTCTAGCCCAGGACAGTTATTGATAAAAAAAGTCTACCCAGCCCGTATCCTTCACCAAACTATGTAACCAGACTGTATTTTTTAAGTCTCTCAACGAGTTCTTGTCTCCCACCATTCACCCAACCCGCCCCCTCATTTTCCATCTAAATTTCAAATTTCTTCTCAAATACAGTCAAATTTCGAAAACAATCCAAAAAAAAGAAAATTATCCGAGGCACATAATATTTATTAGTTTATATTCCAGAAATATTTTATACAAAATTAGAATCTCATTGAGGTGCAAAGGTGCTCCTGTAGCCCTGAAAGTTGTAACATACAAATACGTACCTGGACAGACAGAAAGTTTTGCATATTTCTTTAAATATCATACAGGATTTTAAGAAAATACTCTTGTTTCAGATTTCCTTCTTCTCCGCCCTCCCCCACTCCGCCTGGTGTTTAAGAGCAGGTTTGTGCTGGTCGTTTTGGGAACCAAAGGGGAAACCTGAAAGCTTGTGGATTTGATTCTGATAAAAATAGAGGCTTCTTCATCACCTGATTCCCTTTCTAAAAAATCGTCTGGAAACCTTCCTGGCACGATGTATGGCAATTCTCTCTGGTGGCATCAACAGAGAACAAGGAGATGGCACACACAATCCCCCTGGCGGTTACTGCTTGAAAAAACACGGGAGAGCTCTCACCCGAGTCACTGTCGATAGTAGTCACATGGTAACTATTACTTGTCGTTTCTCCAAGATCCCACAAGATCTTCTAAAGCAGCCCAACCGGGGAAGCCAAGTTGCCCCTTCCCTTTCCCATGTAGAGTGAGATTAAGAGTCAACGAAATCCGCTGGAATGCGAAGAAGGATTTGCTTCGCTTTGAGATTCGGAGTGTCCCAAAACCGATAACCATCCAGCTTTACCCCTTGCACAGCACTAGGACTCTTCCCTTGAAGGTCTGCTCTCTGCCAGAGTGCTTGTTGAAGAGTGCCCCTGCACAGCACAGTTTACAATGCCCAAAAGTCCTATCCAAAACGGCCTTCTCTTTACTGTTTGCGATAACGGTTTGGTTTGAAATGTTTTTGGGGTTTTCCCCCTTGCATTCGATGATTTAAGTAACGTATTATATGAAATTATACAAATGGCCATAAAAAGAGAAAAGTGCACAAACAAAGCTGTGGATCGATAATGTCCACAAAGCATTATTATACAATCATTGACAGAGCAAAGCAATGCCTCGTTAACATTACCGGTTCGTCTGGACCACTCTCCCGCATGCGCGGGACGTCTTATTCCCGGAAGACAATCTCAGACCGTGCAATCCGTACGGGAATCTGTAGATCATTGCGGAGACACATTCCAATAAATCTTCAGATTAATATTCTTCCCTGGCACCTCTGCCAGGAAGTGCAATGTACAGACTACGGAAATAAGGGATGAAAAGAATATCATACGGGGGGGGAGACGGGGGGGGGGGCGGCAGGAGGTGAGAACTGAAAAAGAAATTAGCTTTACAAGAAACAAAAAAGCATCAAGCTTCATTTGGTTTATGCTCAGGCTGGGTTCGAGAGGAATTTTGTTAAACAGTTTCACAGAATTCATGCAGGTATACAAAAAATAACCAATATGGTCCAAACAGGTAGTTTCATCTGGAACAAAAGCTGATTTGAGGTGTCTTCGCTCCACCCCACCCCCGCTTACACAGGCACTGCCAGACGTGGGATCCCCTCGCCAAGTGGTCCATTAAGGCTGATTGACGGTGGCACTCGCTCTACTTACTGCTGTGTTGAGAAATGGGTCAATGCTTGTCTCAGCTTCGCTGCAATCTAGGACGACATGTGAAAGGCATCCTTAACACACACGTCAATGCATATGTCCAACTCTTCCTCTAAAATATTCTTCATTAACAAACATATAACCACTGAAAGACTATTAACTATTTTAATAATTAATCATTTTAATAATTAATAATAAAGAACTAATAAGCCTTCAATACTTTTTGGGGGTCTGACACAAGCAGAAATACATCACTGTGCTTAAGAATACCTGAACCAGGCAAGAGTTCCATGTTTGCCACTTAAGACATGGGAATTTCGCTGCGCCTGCAATGGAAATGCGCACTCTCTCCCTAGAGGGATGCACTGCGCTTACCTAATCCTGGAGAGGGTGAGCAAAATTGCCAACAGGACTCCAGGGTGTGCGTTGGGGTAATAGAAGGCCAGAAATGGCCATTATGGTCCAATCGGTCGGTGCAACGCAAACAAAAGGAAAAAAAACTACATTTCTCTCACGCCCCTCAAATGTCTACATAGGAGTAGGCCATTCAGCCCTTCAAACTTGTTCCACTCTATTAGATCAAAGTTAATCTGTTAGCTATCTCACTTCCTCTTGTTTACAGTTCTGAGCTCCTGGGCATGCAGTGGGCATCAGCCCACTTGGGAAGTCCCAGGACGTAGCAGTGAGGTGGGTTTGTGGTATTAAGGGAAGCAGGGAGGCTGTGATCTATACTGACTTCTCACTCAACTCAGTAGAAGGGTCAGCTCCAGAGCTATAATAATAATAATCTGTGCATTTGATACAGCAGGTTTCACCTCAAGAGGTCACAAAGAGCTTCACAGAATTTACTATTATTTGTAGGCAAGCACAGCCATGCATTGAAAGACCAATTTTATTTGGGGGACTGTTGGCCAGGACACAGAGAGAGAAACTATTCTTTTCCAATAACGCTGCAGGATCTTTAATGCAAGCCTTCCCCCAGCACTGCACTGGATTGTGAGCTCAATGTCCAATAAATAATAATAATCTTTGCATTTTAATATAGCGCCTATCATGTTGTTAAGACATCTCAAAGCATTTCACAGAATACACAGTAAAGTGGATTGATTGTATATTTTGTGGAAATATGTGGCAGCCAATTGCTCACAGCAGTGTCCCACAAACAGTCATGGATTGAAGGACTTTTTTTGAGGGATTATTACCCCCGGAAAGCAATCCGCCAATCGACTAACAACCGGGTTCCTACTCACTGTTAGTTAAACAGAGGGGTGGAGTAAGGAAACTTACCTAAGGTTTTTCCCTGCCTGGGAATTGAACCTGGGTCCTCTCACTTGTGAGGCGAGTGCGCTGACCACTACGCTTCAGGACTCCATAAACAGGGCTTGAATTTACGAGGTGAGAGCGTGACCGACTGAGCCAAGCTAACACTTGACGCTCGAAGGAATGCTCATGCTGAGGAAAATTAACGTACCGTATCATAAAACTCAACTTGCTGCTGTAGGTAGTAATGCATAACAGTGTTGAAGTCGTAAATCCGATTAGAATGAAAGTGATTCATTTCAGCTGGAATGAAAGAGCGTTGGGAATTAATAATCCAGCCAGGGAGACCTCAAGCAGAACTCGGAAGACTTGCTCGGAAGAGCAAGCAAAAAACACACAATTTCACTTTCAGGGAGTATATAGCTCCAAAGTACCACAAAGAAAAATCTTTGCACTTGATACAGTGCCTTTCACGTCAGGACGATGACTCAAAGCATTTCACAAGATTTATTGCAAAGTGTAGTGACTGTGCATTTTCACTTTGTGAATGTGGCAGCTCTTTGCTTTCAAAGCTTACACAACTTTCCTCCTCCCTATTACTGTGACCTACTAACCCTGTACCAGCCTGTCCGCTTGGTGGGCACAGGTCCACTCCATGTCCCCTGCCCTATCCACCGCACCATTGGCGGTTGGGCCTTCAGTCTCTCTGTGTGGGGTAAGGAAACTTGCCTAAGGTTTTGCCCCACCTGGGAATCGAACCCGGATCCTGTCGCTTGTGAGGCGAGTTCTCTAACCAATACACTACAGGACTCCAGGTATAACCCTCTGTACATCTGTTGCTTGTAGCTTTTGTTCGCTCAGCATTTCTTCAATGATCATCTCTAACCCCACCCCAGAGATATCTTTAAGGAATAGTTGCAGCTCCTCGGACTGTCAGTATTTTGATCTTTTATTTTTCTGCATCCTTCTGGCCCATCCTTCCCCCACACAAATATTTATAACCCACAAGGTTCCTTTCCCGGTGGTTTCGGACCTACCTTGGAATGCATAGGACATCGTGCCAATACGATTCACCATCGTGGACTTTTCCTGGGTAGTAATTTTATTCAAAGCCACCAACTTATCACCTTCTTTAGCCTTCTCTATAGCACTCTGTTATAGCCAAAGTCACCAGTGTTAGTATCTGTTTTATGCTGAGCGCTGAGAAATTTCAACATCAAATATGGTCAGCAGCAAGTCACCTTTCACATAGCAAAACACCTCAAAACTCCTTACAGCAGCTTGTACAAGCATTTATGTAAGGGCAAGCAAGATAGCGACTGTACAGAGAAGCGGCCAAAGCCCTAAAGCGTGGTCATCGACACGTTTTTTGAAAGCAAAGGAAGGAGCGCAGAAATCTCAGTGCTAACATCCTTTAGGGTAATATCAAAACTTCAGACAATAATAATAAAATAATAATCCTTGCAGTTGACATAGCGCCTTATCATGTCATTGAGACAGGATATATTGTAAAGTGAATTATCTGTATATTTGTGGGCGAAACACGGCAAACAATTCCGCACAGCAGTGTCCCACAAACAGTTGTGGATTTAGTGACCAAATTATTTTTATTTTTTAATTTTTTTTTAAAGGGGATTATTACCCCTAGAAAGCGATTCACCAATTCACTAACAACTGGGTTCCTACTTACTGCTAGATAAACAGAGGCGTGCGGAGTAAGGAAACGTCATAACTAACTAAGAGCTCCATCTCATGGTCCATCCAAACACAATGAGCATTTCTTGATGCTGGGTATCCCCACTATTCAAATGAATAAAATGAAAGATGGGCTAATTCAGAGGATTTACTGTGATACTGTTAAACAACCTGCTTACGTTAGTGTTTAAGCCTGTTGCTGGCTTTTTTAAAGAGCAATCCTTTCAGTCCCATTTAACCCAGCCCTCCCCCCAACCTGTTGTTTACTTCCTTTTGGATAATAATAATAATAATCCTTGCATTTGTCATAGCACCTCAGTACGTTGTCAAGATATCTCAAAGTTCTTCACAGGATATAATGTAATAGTGGAGTGATTGTGTAATTTGTGGGCAAATGTGGCAGCCGGTTTGCGCACAGTAATGTCCCACAAACAGTCATGGAGTAAGTGAATAATTCTATTTGGGGGATTGTTGGTCAGGATACCGAGAGAATCACCCTTCTCTTTTCCAATAGCTCAGAGATGTTTAATGTCCATCTGAACAGGCACAGACAGGACCTCAGATTAATGTGTCAACTCAAGGACTGGATCTCCGATAATGTAGAACACCTCCAGCACTGTATTGGAGTGTCAGCTTAAACTATGTGAGTTTACGTCCCGACATGGGGCTTGAACCCACAACCTTCTGATTCAGAGGGAAGACTGCTGCCACTGAGCTAGGCTGACACTAAAACCCTGTGGTGCTGTTAATTTTCGGATGCAATAGCAAAGTTTGACCCTAAGGTAACCAGGGTTCCATCACCCAGATGTGTTACCTACTTTGACTCGCGACTAGGAGATAACAGAAGCCAGTTTGCAGGTTAAAACTGAAGATATGACTTGTATTTTTTTTTACCTTGTGCACTCCAATGATATCGGGAAAACAGCCCAATAAGCCCTTATATTCCTGGTTGGTTTCCATCAGGTAATGAAGGTCTTTCTTGGGCTGTTAACAAGAGTAGATTTTGTAAGTCATGGTCAACAGCAACTGACGTATAACATCTCAAAATGCTTGACAGAGGCGTGAGTAGGAGGCTGAGCAGGATGGGACATGTAATAATAATCCTAGAATTTAATACAGAGCCTGAGCACATTATTGAGATGTCTCAAAGCGCTACACAGAATTTACCTTGAAGTGTAGCGATTGTGTTTTGTGGGCGAACACTACAGACAATTTTGCTCTCAGCCATGTCCCACTCAAAGTCATGGCATGAGTGACCAATTTTATGTGGGGGATTGTTGGTCAGGACACCTGGGTGAGAGGAATCCCCTTCTCTTTTCGAATAGTGCCATGGGATCTTTAACATCCACTTGAACAGGCAGACATCTCACCTGAAGGATCTCCTACCTCAGTTTAACGTCTCACCTGAAGGTTTGCACCTTGGACAATGCGGTGCTCCAGAGCATCAGCTTAGACTGACCTCAAAGTCCAGATGTGGAGCCTGAATCCACAACCTTTTGACCCAGAGGCAAGAGTGCTAATTACTGAGCCAGGCTGACACCAGAATGTAAACAAAACACATGCCCCAGTTCTGACAAAGGGTCATGGACCCAAAACTTTCATTCACTTTCCTTTCTCCATAGATACTGCCTGACCTGCTGAGTGTTCCCAGGGACTTCTGTTTTTGTTTGACACCAGAATGTGGTGGGTTCAGCCCCATGATTGAACTTTGAGCTCAAAGAGCTAGGGGAACACTTTAATGGGGGACCACGTTTAATGATGCGCCTTCGGGACCATCTCAGTACCTGTTCCTCAAAGAGGTTAGCGATTTCTTCATAGGTCTTGCCTGCCTCAGTCAAAGCGTCGGTCAAAATAGCCTCACCTGAAAGATAACAACAAATTACATTTGTATAGCGCCTTTCACGTCAGGAGCACATCCCAATGAATGTGTATTATGAGCCTGACCGTGTACTGACAGTTCAGAGATAGTGCATCAGTGCGTGTGTTTTGCAAAGTTGGGCACACAGTGCCTCCCATAATAATAATACTTGCATTTGATATAGCACCTATTCATATTGTTGAGACATCTCAAAACGCTTCACAGAATATATTGTAAAGTGAATTGACTGAGTATTTTGTAGGCGAAAAGTTACATTACCTTCGTAGCCGCTGGTGGTAAAGACTTGGGAGAGGTTCTGCAGTGCTTTTCCTATCTTTTGATATTCCTTGGGCAGCGCTTTAAGAGAACGAACGACGCAGTCAGTACGGAACTTAGAAACACAGAAAGACAGAAATCTCCAGTGCAGGGGGAGACCATTCAGCCCATGAAACCGGCACTAGCTCACAGAGCAAGGATATCACTTCAATCCCATCCTTCAACATGCAGGTTAGTGAGAAATACAGCAAGTGGCTGTTGGCAAACTCGTCTGAGAGTCAGCAGGTTGTGAATTCACTGTCAGACCTGCGCTCTCTACAATAGGATAGGCCAAGGACAGATCTGATGGAGGTTTTAAAATTGATGCTGGATTTTGCTAATGCAGACGGTAATTGGAGGCCACAGATTTAAGGTAGTAACCAAGAGAGCAAAGGAAGAGGTTAGGAGACATTTTTACACCATACACACTCACACACTCACTCCAAACACACACACACACTCCAAACACACACTCACTCCAAACACACACACAACCCTAAAACTGTAGGTGAGACAGAATCCAATTCAACTTTTAAGAGGGAATTAGATAAATATCTGGTAGGAGAGAAACATAAAATAGTGTGGAGGGAAAGGCGGGAGAATGGGACCAGATAGACAGCTCTTTCAGAAAGACAGCCAATGAGCTGAAAGGCTGTTTACAATATACACAACTGTAAATTTGTGTGGTTCAATGGCTTTATTGTGAGCACAAGGCACTGACACCCACCTCCAGTGCACCTCTTCCAGTGCTCTTGTCCCACATTCAGCAGCTCCTTTACCCCATCATCCATTGACTTGGTAAACTTACTAATGGATTCAACCTTCTGTTCCCTGCAGGGTCAACAGCACAGACAGCACGTGGCTTTGTCATTGGGACAAGCATTGAGAAGGCATTGAGAACTCATGCTCCACCGACTGATCAGACATATTGTAATTTTTTTTAAAAAATGGCATAACCTTAATAAAATATTGGCAATTGTAATTTTGAAATAGATACATACGCTTCCAGCAAGTCTATATCCTCCGCTGGGGGCTCGACAGTACCAAAAATCATGACGCCAACCACATCGTCCTTTTCTGCTTTCCTCTTTCCCAATTTCCACTCCTTCAGTACATAGAGAGAGAAATGAAAACGAGCCAGAATACACTGGAAAAACCACTAGCCCATCTCTAATTTGGGTTGTCCCCTCTCTCTCACGTTGTGTTCATCAGTGCAGCTCAGAAGAGCTCATTCACAATGGAAGCTTTGGTTCAGTTGGTGCTAGGTCCTGGGGCAGAAGGTTATGGACTTCAAGCCCTATCTGGGAATCAATGGATGTTTCCCAGGCAGGCAGGCAGGAAGTAACTAATGGTTTATTCCAGGGGTCTGCCCTAGGACTGCTGCTTTTTACAATGTACATTATGAATTTGGACATGGGAGTGTGGAGTCCCAAGCAAGAGGATCCGGGTTCGATTCTCAGGCAGGGCAAAACCTTAGGTATTTTTTCTGACTCCACTTGTCTCTGTTTACACAGCAGTAAGTAGGAACCCGGTTGTTAGTTGGTTGGTGAATTGCTTCCTGGGGAAAATAAATCCTCCAAAAAAAATCACAAAAAAATGTTTTGGCACTCAATGCTTCCCACCATCCTAACTGAGCAAAACAGATGCAGGATTGAACCAAGAAGTCACTCGCTATACCTGTCCTTCCTGTATTGATTAGAGCACTTGCCTCGCAAGCGAGAGGACTCGTGTTCAATTCCCAGGCAGGGCAAAGCCTTAGGAAAGTTTCCTCACTCTGTTTACCTAGCAGTAAGTAGGAACCCGGTTGTTTGTCGATTGGTGGATTGCTTTCTGGGGTAATAATCCCTCCAAAAATAACCCCTCAAAACAAACAAAAAATAAATAATAATTTGGTCACGCAATCCATGGCTGTTTGTGCGACACTGCTGTGCCCAATTGGCTGCCATATTTTGCCCACAAATCAGTCAATTCACTTTACAGTGTATTCTGTAAGACAGTAATGACTAAAGCTTTGAGACATCTCAATGACGTGATAAGACGCTATATCAAATGCAAGGATTATTATTATTATTATGGGAGGCACTGTGCCCAATTTTGCAGAACACACTAGATTGGGTCAATTCACATACTGTGAGAATAATAATAATAACACTCATGTGAAACAGGCGAGATGTTAAACTGAGGTCCAATCTTCCTGTTCTGGTGGATGTTAAAAGAAACCATGACACTATTGGAAAAGAGAAAGGCGTTTCTCCGGTATAAATCAGTTATTCACCTCATGGCTGTTTGTGGGACATTGTTGTGTACAAATTAGCCGTCGACTTTCCCTACAAATGCACAGTCACACAGTCACAGTCATTCCCTGTGCAGCACTTTGAAACATTCCAATGTTACAGTCGCTGCGTCAAATGCAAGGATTCCTTCTTATGATAAAAGCATTCCCACTGCAGACAGCATCTGAATGTCACAGCTGTGGATGTAGGTGCGTGCAGTAAAGGAGCTGAAGATGATTGAAGTGACAGAGGTATTTAGTGTACACTTTAAAATTGCTTACGTTTCACATGGGGGGAGGGAGGCGGGGGCTAAATTGTCCCCAGCCTTCCCAGTGTTCAGGAGAGGAAAACCAGCCAGGTACATGGTACTGGTACCTTGTCAGCACCCTCTATTGGTTGTGTGTATATGTGCAGCAGCTGAGTGCAGTCAGGCTCGGCTGTGACACTTCACAGTTGCGCGAGCTGCTGATATTCACAGACATGAATAATAGCCACTCGGTGGGGTACCAGGAAGCAGCCATTACCCACCTGCAGCCCAGCATAATGGGGGGGGGGGGTGGGAACGGACGCAGGAACAGAGGCATATATAATGGGGAGAAAGTTAGAAAAATAAGTAGATGCAAAACTTTTTTTTATAAAAAAAGCTTACGTTTCAACAATTCATGTCTGTGAGTGTCAGCAGCAAGTATATCACATGGGATGTCATTCTGAAAGCATTTCAGAGAGATCATAAGAAACTACCAAACAGTGAGGAAAGGGAGAGCTTAAAGGATCTGAGCAAAGGCAAGTTAAAATATATTTTTTTAAAAAGTGTTGTGAAAGCAGGGATTGTGAAAGCAAGGAGAAAAGGTTGCACAGAGAGCAAGGATGAAAGAGTTGCACAGAGAGCAGGGATGTATTGGCTAAAGGCCTGGCCTTTGATGAAGGGAGTGAAGAATAAGCAAATGAGTCAGAAGAGCAGAGGTGCATACAGCAAACACAAGAGAACAGTTACTACAGAGCAGACTAAAGCTGACAGAGATAGTTTAGGTAGGGAGGGCGAAACTGTAAAGGAATCTGAAGGTAAGGCTGAGGATTGGAGTCTCTCTGCTGAAGTCCTAGGACCCATGGAGCCTGGAGAGGATATAGGGAATGAGTGGATGCATCCAGGTGAAGGAGAGATGTAGAGTTTTGGATGAGGTGGAGTTGGGTAGAGGACAAGGGGGGAGGAAGAGGGTCTGGAGCTAAGGAGTGGTGGAAAAAGGAGTAGAGGCTGGAAGCTGGGGGTTGGAAAGGGGTCGAGGACGAGAGCTAAGGGAAGGGAGCTAACTGGGGAGGGGCGGGGGGGAAGAGCCAGGATCTGGGGCAATGGAAGAAGAGAGGCCGGGAAGGAGTGAATGGGTTGGTCTAACTTTGAATGCATAGCTAGCTGAGGGTTTCAGGCGGTGAGTGAGCAATTAAGTCAGGGGTAAAGTATGGGTAATGTGCTGAAAGCAGGTTTGGTAAAGGAACAGCACTTGAAGCCGAGCGGAAGGTCAAGCAGACGACAAAGTTACGCACGGCTCAGTTAGCTGGAGCGAGCAGCCAAGGAGGACGAGAGACGGAGCCAGATGCAAGAAGACGATGGCGAGAGCCGAAGAAGATGGATTCAGTTCAGTCACAAGCTCCTCGTATGTCGAGCGCTGCTGCTCGGCGGCCAATTACTCAGATTATTTCCACGTCGCAGATCCATACAGCAAACACAAGGGAACAGTTACAGAGGCAGCATTATCATGCTTCAACTTTGGAGTACAGAGAGGGCCCAGCTCTACAGTTAACCGGGCCCACAATTACAACGCCACAATTATTACACAATACTAGATCCTCAGCCTGAGAGGACTCAACAACAAGTTACATTTATACAGCACCTTTTATGTCGAGAGGTCATCCTAAGGCGCTGGACAGTCAAGGATTTGAACCCGATCTGGGGGTTGGGATCAGGAGGGGTGGAGAGTAGGGGTAGGAGGTTGAGCAAAGGCGCAGTCGAAGAGGAGGGTCTTGAGATCCACTCCTTTCAAAATCCTCATCTCTCTCCAGCTTGAACAAGGAAAACCAGAGCAGCCGTAGAATAGTTAAGGAAGTAAAGTTATGAATGGCAAGGTCACAAGGCCTTCAAGGATGCAAGGGAGGGAGCAAGGCCAAGGTACTTTGGGATGGAGTTCCAAAAGGTGGGGCCAGAAATGCTGAAACCCCGACCACTGATGGTGGGGCGGATGAGGTGGGGGACATGGAGGAGGCCGGGGCCCACTGAGCAGAGGGAGCGGACAGGCTGGCATGGACTCTCGGACATGTCCTTGTCTCCTGTCCCAAGGCACAGGGTCACTGGTATATGATTTTAGAAATGATTAAACCAAGCACTGAAATCTGATGTGATTCAAAAAAACAGGTGTCTAGCTCAGGCTGGCTGTGCGACTCCACCCTACTCGCTCCACCATCCGTGGCCAAGCTTTCTACCATCCTACGCTCCTAACCATTGAAACTGCCTCCCTTGACCCCTCAGTCTCCCCACCCCCAGCCATTTCTATCAGCCTTCAAATCCCACCTCAAAACCTACTTCTTCAACTGTGTCTATGGTCACTTCCCACTTGCCTTTGCTCGGCATCCAAACCCCACCACTGTGAAGCGCCCTGAGACGTTATTCTACACGAAGAGTGCTGTATAAATGCAAGTAGTTGTCTAAAAAATATAGAAACCCATCCCACCAGCAGGAGGCTATTCCATCCACTGTATTGGTCTCGGAGTTTGCTCCTCTATCAATATCATCTTTCAAATCCAGACCAGCCTCACCTGGCTCAGAGCTTGGTGGGCATATTTCTTCTCACTTGGCTACCACTAACCCTGCAAACCAAAGTACCATGGATAAGGATGGTCCTAGCTGGACAAGCAGCATGAAGCTCACCAGACTTGCTCTCAATGGCAAGCTAGGTGTTTTTAGCTGGTTAGACTCCAGCAGTTACCCCAACGCACACTCTGGGGTTTCCATTTTTTGGCTGTCACCAATCTATGTCAAACAGTCTCCAGAACTGGCTAAGCAGGGGCGTTCCTCAGGCATGTCACCTTGGAACCAACTCAGCCCCACCCCCACTCCTGCCAAAGGAGAACAGTCACTGGTTGGTAATTGGATATCTGACAAGCCTAGGCTTGAGCCCTCACAAGTTGGGCAGCACGTAAAACCCTGACTGGAGTACAGGTTGATAGCAATATTTAATAGAGGTTTCAAAACCACTCCACATCCACTCCTTTCAAAATCCTCATCTCTCTCCAGCTTGAACAAGAAAAACCAGAGCAGCCATGTAATAGTTAAGGAAGTAAAGTTATGAATGGCAAGGTCACAAGGTCACACACGATACGATCCATTTTTGAGGCTTTATGGGAATATTCCATTAACCGATCTCCCTTTGTCACTAAGATGATAAATCTTTGCATGATTCTTCCATCTATCCTACCTTTTCATCCCGGTATGTAAGGAATAGCTGGAAGAGATCACTGGTGGAAACGACAGGATGATGGCACATTCTGTTCATCCAGCCCTGCAGCCTCTCCATCCGCATCTTGATGAATTCCTCTTCGAACCTTCCTAGGATGAGAACAGAGATCAGGCCGAGCTCTGGTGAAGATCCCAATTCAAACCCAGTTTCAAAATGTTAAAAAAAAATCTCAGGGGGCAAAAAATAATCACTGCATTTGATATAGCGTCTTAGCAAGTCGTTCAGATGTCTCAAAGCGCTTCACAGAATAGACTGTAAATGGATCGCCTATGTATTTTTGGGGACAACACAGCAGCCAATTGCACACAGCAGTGTTCCACAAACAAACATACACGGAAACCCATCACCATTGCTTACGGTCTCCAAATCAAACTGCTGAGAAATTCGCCCATAAAATACAAGTCAATTCACTTTCCAGTATATTCTGTGAAACACCTTGAGACGTCTCGAAGACATGATACATCAAATACAAGTATTATTATTGATTATTATTATTAATGCAGCCCTCGTCCCTGCAATGGAGTGTCAGCTTAGACTACGTGACTCAGTCCCAACGTGGGGTTTTAACCCATAACCTTCCAATTTAAGAGGCGAGTGTGACCGAGATTGAGCCAGGCTGACACTGACTGCAGTGTGTGCCGTACTTTGTATCCAGACAGGGTAAATCAGAACAAATTTGCTCATTGTGAAACAGTCCAGATTCACAGTAGCAAAAGGATTACAACAACAATTTGCATTTATATAGCGTCCTTCACGCAGGGTAGCATCCTGGAGTGCTTAAAATAAAAAACTAAAAATCCTTGCAACTCTTCAACAACAAATTGCACTTATGTAGTGCCTTTCGCGTTGGGAGGACGTCCCAAGGTGCTAGACAAATGATATACTGCAAACTGGGTGACTGTGTGAATTTTGTGGTTGAACGCAGCAGCCAATCTGCGTTCGGAAAAATCCCAAGATTCACAGGAAAGGTTAACACTGGTTCCACTCTCCTTCCAGAATTCCGCCAAGTTGGAATGCAATCGAAGGAAGCTCCCAGCAGGAACTGTGCATCCTGATTGGAGTTCAGATGTGACTAGCTGCAGGATTTGTTCCTTTTTGTGGGAATCATTTCATAACTTTAGCGCCCAGTGACCGTGACCTTTACATAACCATCAGTTATTAACCCCCTCCCAAAACACACGCGCACACACACACACCAGAACATCCCTCTCCGCTTACCTGTAACCTGCTTATCTGGAAGTGAAGGGATTGGAATAGCGGAACCAAACTTAACAAGCAGCCGCTCATACAACCAGTCAAAATGCTTGTACCTGTGATTCACTGAGCGGTTAGTGCTCTGTCAACAAAGGAAACATAAATACAATACCAGGAAGGTTCACACACAGCCACATAAAGAGAACTGAAAATGTTAAACTTAACCATTTCATTGCCACGTAAAGCCCTACACACACAAAATCAGACACAGGAGGTCAGCAATGGGCACTTATTATGAAACAAGTTGGGAAAGACAAACAGCTAGATTAGATTACAGAGCGAGCTATAGACAAATGGCGTCTTGCTTTGTAAACCAGTTCAAAGCAGCTTTGTTTATCTTTGTTGGCTGAGCTGACGCCCGCTGGTTCTGCTGGTTGATGTTCTGCATGGACTGATTTTTTTCGGGGGGAGGGGGGTGTGTAGTAAAGTTACTGTTTATCAGTCTGCACTCAGTACGACACAGGTCTGATTAGCCTCCACTGGCTTTGAATTGCTTTAATTATCCAGTTGTAGTTTGCTGAACTGTTCAGCTCAAAATAGCCTTTTATGCCTCATTGCTCATGGACACTATATCACTGAAATGTCAAAACGTTTCAAAGGATTGGCTGTGTATTTTGTAACCGAATGTGGCAGCCAATTTGCACAGAGCAATGTCCCACAAATAGCCATGGAGTGAGTGACCATTTATTCTGGGGGCCAGGACACCGGGAGAGAGAAACTCTCTTCCCTTCCCGAATTGCGCGACGGGATCTTTAACGTCCACTTGAACAGGCACAGATGGGACCTCAGTTTAATGCTTCACCCAAAGGATGGCACCTCTGACAATGCAGTGTTTCCCCAGTGCCCTATTCACTCTAATACAGCCTAGACTAAGAGCCCAGCCAGCACCCGCTGGGGATCTGACTGTTATTTTTCTCCCCCCAAGGTGTAATGTGTGGAAAAGCACTTACATTTGGAGTCACTTGATATTCAATGTAACTCTTCAATCCATACAACTTGGACCCTTTCTTGGGGTCAGCCACCACGCAGCTCAAAGAGGAATTGGGATAGTTCCAGACTGCACCTACCTGCCCTTTCTGGGGCAAAAGAACAGCATTGGTTAACATCAAACCGGAGATCTGTATTGCTGTGCTACAAGTACACCCCAAGAGAACACCATTGGATTCAATCGGGCTAACCTGATATCATTTAGTGCAGTGACATATAGTGACTTAAAGAGGTAATTAGGTAAGCAGGGTGCATCTCTCCAGAGAGGTACACAAGGGTAGGATGGATGGAACTCTGATTGGTTTGTATATTCTTCCGTGGGTTTCCACGTGTGTCAGATTCCCAGTTAACCAAAACAAAATTGAGCAGCTATCTTGGTTGGATTGTTGCTGTTTTAAAATGTTCCACGTGGAATAATTTATCACAAAGGGTACAAGGCTTCAGCTGTGCTCAGTGTCTGTTCCAAGGTCTTTAACTAGGTTCCTAAAAGTAGGTTGAAGTGAAAGTGTTCACACTATTTAGACTGTGCTTGATAAAGTTAGATTCTGAACAGCTATTATTGTGACTAAGTTAAATAAATGTCACTGCCCTCAGGTATCTTTTCAATCAAATCTAAAGGCAACTTATTTCATGCCTCATCTGCAACATGCAAAGCAAGCGTCTAAAATTATCACATTGGATTTTAATAAAGGCGAGTTTGCATGTTGCTCTCTGCAGGGGGTTTCTGGTTTGCTTTATAACACCTCTGCACCTTTATACTGGGAAACCAAAGCACTGTACGTCTACGATTCAAATCCTACTTGTGAGGCACCCTGAGATGATATCCTACTTGAAGAGAGCTAATCCCTCCCTCTCCCCCACCACCCTCCCCAATAAGGCTGAGCCAGAATGGTTTGAGAACAGATACTAATGTGAATTGGGGAAAGAGCAGGGAATGGGATTAGAGTAGGGAGCTCCAGTGGGGGAGCGAGCACCAACACAGACATGATGGCGAGAGAGCAGGGAATGGGATTAGAGTAGAGAGCTCCAGAGGGGGAGCGAACATCATAAAGAGGCCAAGCGATCACTTACATAGATTGTGAGCTGTTCACCAGTTTTTGGTAGCAGCTTTGAAAGCAGATAAACCTCTGGACCATGTTTGGAAAAAGTTGGAAACCTGAAAGAAAGTCAGATTGCAAATACAATTCAGAACTTTTTTGTGTCGGGGGAAAGCCCTTCACAGTGCTGGATTGGATGCTGAGCTGGGGGTTGGGAAGCGGGGGGATGGGGAGAGGAAAGGTGACCGAAAGCGTGGTCAGAAGTGCGTTGTTAATCATGTCTCGAAAGAGGAAGCAGTTTGGAGTTACTCTGAAATCCTCCCACTCAGCTCCTGTTATCTCTGCAAGCCAAAGCCCTAACGGGTAGGGTGGTCCTGGCTGGACAAGCAGTGGGAAAGCTTGCCAGACAACGATATCGATGGTAAGCTATGCAGTTTTAGCTTGTTAGATTCTAGCAGTTACTCCAACGCACACTCGGGGGTCCCCAAGCCTTGGTTGTTGCCAACCTATACCATAATAGGAATTAGGTGAGCAGGATGTGTCCCTCCAGGGAGAGAGAGCGCATTGCATTCCAACAATCTCTCTCTGGGATTTCCATGTGTAGGTGGGATGTGCGGAATTCTCAGTTTGGTTTGGGTACTTTTAAGGACGGTGATGGGTTTCTGCATGTGTCAGACACCCGTCTATCAAAAAAAAAGACAATTGCTCACTTTACGAGCTGAGCCCTGATACTGACATCTCCCGTTACCTGTTGAGCGACATTTTCACTGAATTGTTGCGGGGAGCTCCGCGGACCAGCCCACCCTCTGAGGACTCCGACTCCTGACGAGGGAGAATGTTTGATGAGTTTCTAGGCTCGTCCCAGTCATCGTCCCACTCGTCCTCATCGGTGGCGCCTATGTGAGAAGCAACAGCGTGAAATCTCGCCTCCAAGTCAGAAGGTTGTGAGCTGGCACGGATTAGCTATCACGTTAACAACATTTGCATTTGGTATAGCGCCCATCACGTAAGCAGGGTGTCTCAAAGTGTTCCGCAGGATATACTGAGCCAGGCAGACACTCTAGTTGGGCCAAATAACCTGTCTCTGTGCCAAATTGCTCAATGTAGAATGCAATATATAATAATAATCTTTTCATTGTAATTATAATATATATTATAATATATTATAATTATAATCATTGTAATTATAATAATCCTTATCACATTGTCGAGATGTCTCAAAGCAATTCACAGGATATACTGTAAAAGTGAGTATTTTGTGGGCAAAACGCAGTAGCCAATTGCACACAGTAATGGAGTGAGTGACCAAACTTTTATTATTAAGATTGCCTGGTAACACAAGCAATATGTTTCTCGTGAACGATCACACCAACAGTGAATTTACAAGTTAAAGTAGCATTTTCATTTATGTGTCATTCCAGTTTGTAAATCCAGTTTCCTCATGACCAACCTGCTTGACAGATGATCGCTCACCAGTTTCGAGCAACAAACCCGGAATGATATTCCGAAGATCAGTCACGCTTGAAGTATAGGTTTTACGATGCAAAAATCAGACTCTAGTCACGGAAGAATTTGTGGCAGGCAAGCAAGGAGGTGCCAGAGGCAGCAACAAAATATCAGCAACTTGTTTATAACAACAGGAGAGCAATCTCAGGCAGAGATGCAGAGCATGATAAAACAGAGGGATAATATGCAAAGCTGCCTCACTAAAATACTCAGTAAACAGGGAAATCTGAACAACGCACCTTGCATTTGCATTTGAAATAACACTTTATCATGTCGCTCAAAGCGCTTCACAGAATATACTGTAAAGTGAATTGACTGTGTATTTTGTGGGTGAACTGCAGCATCCAATTGTGCACAGCAGTGTCCCACAAACAGTCGTGGATTAAGTGACCAAGTATCATTTTGGGGGAGCTTGGGCAAGGGATTTTTGCCCCCAGAAAGCAATCCGTCAATCAACTAACAACCGGTACCTACTTAGTGCTGGGCAAACAGAGGCGGGTGGAGTAAAGAAACTTGCCAAAGATTTCGCCCCGTCTGGGAATCAAACCCGGGTCCTCTTGCTTGTGAGGCGAGCATGCTAACCACTACACTACCGGCCTCCACGTGCCTGCCACTGACCTGGACCTTGGTAAGCCTGAGGGTGTTGGAAGGCTGATGAGTCCCAGGTTACTGGAGGATTATTTTTCTGTGCTTGTGAGCTCTCAGGGTTCGTTGGCCAGTCCACTGCATTCCAGGCTTTCCCAGCAGCTCCAGTGTTTAAATCGCTCCAGTTAGTCCATTGATCGTTCTGGCCACTGTCTGTCTGCTACACAAATTGAATACATTTGACACACGCCACATGAAACTCCAGGTTTTTCCGAGGAAGCATAACAATCCTTGCCATTGATTCAATGCCTCATCATAACACCTCAAAGCGAGTCATAGGATTTAATAATCCTTGCATTTGATATGGGGCCTAATCACATCTGAAGGACATCTCGAAGGATTTACTGTGAAATGAAGCGACTATGTATTTGTAGGCAAATGTGGCAGCACAATTGTGCTCAGCAATGTCCCACAAACAGATATAGAGTGAGTAATTAATTTTATTTCGAGGAATGTTGACCAGGACACCGGGAAAGAGCCTTACTTGTCTTTTCAAATAGTGGCATGAGATCTTTCACATCCACTGGAACAGGCAGACGTGACCTCGGTTTATAATAATAATCCTTGCATTTGATATAGCACCTTATTATGTCTTCGAGATATCTAAACGCTTTGCAGAACATACTGTAAAGTGAATTGGCTGTACATTTTGTGGGCAAAATGTCTCATCCAAAAGACGGCACCTTCAACAATGCACCACCCCTGAGCGCTCCATTGGAGTTTTATCTTAGACAATGTGAGTAATGTGGAATTACTATTTGTAGGCAAATACTACAGCCAATGTTTACATTGATTTGATATTGTCTGTACATGGCAAAAATGAGCCATTTGGGCTAACTAGTCTGTGTCAGTATTTGACTGCACAAATCTGACTGCATTGCCTCACAAACAGCTCATTGATCCAATTTAATTCAATCATTAAGTCTTTGTGAGACACACTAATACGTACCTTATGTTTGCTACATGGCCTTTCACGTCAGGAGGATGTTTTAAAGTACTTCACAGGATTTACTGTAAAGTGCAGTGACTGTATTTGTAGATGAGCACAGCAGTCTATTTGCACAAAGCAAAGTCCCACAAACAGCCATAATAACCAATTTATCTGGGGAATTGTTGGTCAGGCACCAGGAGAGAGAAACTCCTTTCTCAGAAATATAGGAAAGGAGGCCATTCAGCCCATCAAACCTGTTCAATAGGTTTATTCGAGTTTAACAGATCTTTTAATGCCTATGCCACAGCTTTGCCATACCACTGGATCTCTCCACAATCTAAATATTTGTCCTTCTCTCTTTTAAACATCCCTTTGAGTGTCTCAAGCACAGACGACAAAGAGTGGAATGTGCCTAAGTAAAAGACCGTGTTTGAACACCAATGTGGACTTGTGACTGACAACACAAAAAGCCCAGAGAACAGACTTTATACCTCAATCCTACCACCCAGCCTTTATGATTTGAAAAGCAAAGCAAGCAGCGTGTCCCACCCTTATGGAAATACTTTGGAGACTAGATCAGAGAATTCAGGTCAGTAGAGCTACAAACATCCTCGTTGCTCTCTTCTGCGCTATCTCTAAAGGCTGGACAATTTGCTTACGATGCGGTGACCAGAACTGTATGCAACACACTAGGTGTGACCTGACCAGACTCAAGCATAAATTTTGGGGATCTGAACTCAACTGATTTAGCAACTGTTTGCCTTGTTTATTGCTGCCTCAGAACTACTCTGATAAGGTGAGCAACAAGTCAACTAACACCCTTAGATCTCTTTCATCTTCCACCTCAGCAAGTTCTTTCCCATCCATGGAACACATATGCCCCATTCTTACTTCCGAAATGTAGTACCTTGTATTTTTGCACTAAACGTTATTTGCCAGTTATCATCTCATGCACATCCCCTGCATAGTCCTCTTTTTAAAAACCTTTGTGAAACATGCGTCCTCTCATTCCATAGTTACATTTAGTGTCAACCGACTATGGTTACACTGGATCTGCCAATCCATCCAGATCATTAATATATACTAGCAGGGGTCTTTTTTTTTCCACTTTCCCCCAGCTCAGGGTTGTGCTCTGGACCATTGTCTGGGATGCTACCCTGCGTGACAGGCACTATATAATTGCAAGTTGTTGTTGTCTCAGTACAGACTCCCGAGGTCTCTCCATCATTCTTTATACCTCCCCACGTCTTGTCTTCAATACTCAGTGGCCTCAGTGCGTGATGGAGTCTCACTGTGGCCTTTTGGAAACCTAGATACATCACGTCATATGGTTTTTACATATCACCTCCTCAGAAGAGTCAAAGTTTGATCAGACAACCTATCCCTTTTCAGCTGCGATGGGCTGTCATTTGCGAAGTGATTTTCATACAACTTATTTATCTTCCGTTGAGTTTCCGATGTTTGATTCCATTAGTTTACTTATTATTGTGGTTAAGCTGCTGGGTTTACAGTTCCAAAGCAATGGCTTTGTCACCTTTCTTGAATATGTGAACCAAATTTCCTTATTCCAGTCTACCGGAAACTCACAAGTGGTGAGTGACTCATACTGTCTGTCAGTGCTTCACAAATGTGTCAGTTTCGCTCAGTGGGTTGCTTTCTTGTTTCCTTGTCACAACGTTGTGAGTTCAAGCCCCACATCAGGACTTGGATCTCATATAGTCTAAGCTGATGCTCCAATGCAGTGTTGGGGCGTCGGAAGTGCCATCCTTCGGATGGGACGTTAAACTGAGGTCCCGTCTGCCCTTTCAGGTGAACATTAAAGATCGCACGGCGCTATTCGAAAAGAGAAGGGAGTTTCTCTCTCCTGTGGTTCTGGCCAACAATTCCCGCAAAAAATTGGTCACTCGCTTTGTGGCTGTATGTGGCACATTGCTGCGCGCAACTGGCTGCTGCATTCGCCCACAAATTAAAAGGCACTGCACTTTTACAGTATGATCCCTGAAACACTTTGGGACATGAAAAGTGCCACTATATAGCTGTACCACTATAAGGATTATTATTGTTATTAAGTTTGCTGCCTGGGGTAGCCTTCACTTGCCAATTTAAGGCCGTTTGTGTGACTTTGTGCAAATTAGTTGCCATGTTTGCCTATAAATAACTTTTTCACTTGACAGCAACACTGAGATGTTTCAACGTTACAGGCGCTGTAACAAAGATCATCATCACATATCTGGTAGCTCATGTTTCCACAGTCCAAGGTGACCACAGGTACTGTCCCTTGGTGGTGGTGGTAGGTAGCGGGAGCTTCTCCAACCCTTTCCTCAGTGGTCCCGCTCCACCATTCATAAGCAGCAACTCACCCACAGCGCCACCACCCACATCCTCACCCATCTCTCAGTGAATTGATTTCATCCTCACCTCCAATTCAATCCACACCCTGGCACCTCCTTACTGCCTTGCCCGCCCTACCACTGGCAGTCAGTCCTTCAGCCTCTCTGTCTCCACCATTTGGAATTCCATCCCAGAGCCCCTTCGCCTTGCTCCCTCCTACGCCTCCTTCAAGGCACATCTCAAGACCCTCCACTTCGGCCCTCGTTCACCCACCTACCCCCACCTTCCCTGCCCTCGGTCCTCCTAATACCAAACCCCGGTCGGGTGCAATTCCTTGCTTGTCCAGCGCCTTGGGATGTCCTCTCGACGTGAAAGGGTCTGTATAAATGTAATGTGTTGTTGTTTTGAATGGCAACTGTGACCATCTCCACTCTTGCTTGCTCACACATCTCCCTGAAGCGTTCCGAGATGTTACTCTACATGATGGATGCTGTATAATTACTAACAAGTGTAACAGTTGCGCTGTGTAAACAGACAGAGAAACTGGGGAAGTTGGGGTGTAAACTACACCAGGTGACGTTTATAAAGATACAATCTCTCCTCGAGGGGCGGCTCAGGAAACAAGCTGTGTCCTATGATGACTGCTAAATGATAATAAATAGCCTGAACTGATGGGCATACGGCAAACATATTTCAATAAAATCTGGTTCCTCTTTTCTCTCCCCCACCCTCCCCCCCGAGATCTTGAAAGAAACCATTTTCCCAGTAAAAGAGGATCCGAGGCTGCACTCTGAGTAATGTCAGCTCTGACCCTCACGGTATAGCCCCGGCCTTTACAGTTAGGCTTTCGGGAGGGGGTGGTTGTTCCACACGTGTATGGAAAGTATGAGACAGCCACATCACAGTCACCGTAATGCTATGCAGTTACACGCATCAGGGATGCATCAGGGATGCACGTATCTTACATGGAACAATCACATAACTTTTGCCGCCCACCCCCCCCAACCACCCACCCATTGACGCTACCCACAAAACAGAAGAGGAGGCTTAATTATAATAATCCTTGGCAGCCCACAAACAGTATTTGTGGATTGAGCGACCGATTTTTTTTGGAGAGTTTAAAACGATCCGCCAATTGACCAAGAACCGGGTTCCTACTTACTGCTGGGTAAACAAAGGTTTATGGAATAAGATAACTTGCCTAAGGTTTTGGCCCGACTGGGAATTGAATCCAGGTCCTATTGCTTACAACTACGCTACAGACTCCCATGGTACTATTCGAAAAGAGGAGGGAGTTTCTCCTGGTGTCCCAGCCAACAATCCACCAGATAAAATTGCTCATTCACTCCATGGCTGTGTGTAAATGGGTTACCGTATTTGCCTACAAAACACATACAGTTTCCTGTGAAGACATACATCCTCTTCACGTGAAAGGTGCCCTGTCAAATACAAGGATTAAAAATCTTGTACAGTTGCAGTTTGTTAATCTGATCAATTCAGTGTTGACACCAAAATTACCTCATCTCAACTCCAAGCACTTCCCCATTTAGAACGTATTCCCATCCGCTATTCTGGTGAAAGGAAATCAAGAACCCCATACTCTGCAATGTTAAACCCTGCACTTACTTAATCTGCCTCTTTGCAATTTTCAACTGTCCTCGTTGCAATTTACACCATCAGTTTGTGTCAATCAGCCAACGTAGAAATACTCCCCACCTTTCCTGTATACACAGCGTCAAAATCGACACCCCTGCACCAATCCCTATGGGATATTACTGGTCAATGCAGAAAATTAGAGAACATACTTATTTACCCTACTCTCTGTCTGCCAACCAGTTTTCCAGCCACACCACAATACTACCTTCATTTCAAAGTGTCTTCAGTTTAGCCAACATTCTCTAATTTGCCACTTTACCAAATGTCTTCTGAAAATCCATATAACAACAACTTGCATTTATGTTGTTCTTCAAGCAGGGTAGTGCCTTGGAGCACTTATATAAAGAACATCCATTGATCCTCCCCCCCACCCCTTTACCTATTACCAAATGTCTCCTGAAAATCCATATTAATAATATCCACTGACCCTCCTTTACCCATTACCTCAGTGTTCCTGTCAAACTCTGTTAGATTAGACAGACACGATCAGTCTTTCGCACAACCTTTCACACAACCTGACTCTCCGAGGTTATAATAATCCTTACATTTAATAAAGCACCTTTATCATGTTGGTGAGATGCACATGTTTACTGTAAAGTATAGTGACTGTGTGTTTTGTAGGCAAACAGGGCAGTCAATTTGGGTATAGGTATGTTCCACAAACAGCCATGAAGTGATTGACCACTTTTATCTGAGGGATTGTTGACCAGGACACTATTCTCATTGCAAATAGCACCACGGGATCTTTAACATCCACCTGAAGAGGCAGAAGCAAACAGTTTAACATTTCATCTGAAAGGTGGTACCTCAGACAATGCAGCGCTGGAACGTCAGCATAGACTGCAAGTTCAAAGTCCAAACTTGGGGCTTAAACCCACACCTTTTGATTCAAAGGCGACAGTGCTACCACCTGAGCCAGGTTGACACCCTTTATCCCAATGCTAATGCTCCATCCCTGATAACACTGTTCTTAAGCTTCCAGGTCTACAAGTTGCTTGGCTTTACCCCTTCCTGAACAATAGAGACACTGGTTACCTTCCAATCTTGGGAGTGTATCTCCCAAAAGCAGCAGCTGACCTGACCTGTACATCTCAGTTCTTCCCTCGTCAGCAATCAATAAAGGAAGGATTATGTTCAAAGAGTATAGTTAATGTTTAATAGATGCCTGGCAGAAAGACTAAAGGTGAAAAATTAGATCACCTGATTCACTTGTGCCATTTCAGAACAAGAGTAGATTTAAAGGGAACCTGACTGCCAAGAGTAAGACATACACCCAGTGCACAGGATAAGTCACCATGTAACGCTGCATTATACCAGCTCAGCAATTCAGCTCTACAAACTGGATTCAAGCTCCATGCAGGGACTTTGAGCTGATAGTCTAGGCTGACACTGCAGTGCAGTACTAGGAGAGCGGCATATTGTCAGAGGCCCTTGGGACATCCTCCCAATGTGAAAGGCACTTCGTAATGTAAATTTGTATTGTTGTCCTTCAGATGAGATACTAAACCAAGATCCTGTTTGCTTATTCAGGTTGACTGTAAAAAGATCCCATGGCAGAATTGGAAAGAAGAGGCCAACACTTCCCCCAGTAAAATTGGCCACTCACTCCTTGGTACTTGTAGAATACTGCCGGGTGCAAATCAGCTGCTGCATTCAAATGGCTCCTGCACTTTCCTACAAAACTCATAGACACTAAACTTTATTGTAAAGTGGCCCCTCCCTTGCCTTCTTCAAGACCTGTCTCAAGATTATGCTTTCGGCCACCCTCCTACCCCCAGCCTCTCCTACTCTTCACACCTCTTGTTTCCAAGTCCCAGCTCAGGTGCAAACCCCTAACTGTCACACACCTTGGGACTTCCTTCCGACATGAAAGGTGTAATATAAATGTAGTTTTGTTGTTGTATGCTGTTATTGTAAAGACCTGTGAAGCGCTTTGAAATGTCCTCCCAATTAATTATCTATTATCCTTCCCTTTAGGTCCACTCGCGTGGGTTTCGGGAGCAAAAGGTGCCACCAGCTGGTAGAGCTAAAGACCGTTCACATTGGGAGGGCGTCTCAAAGTGCTTTCTTTAGTCAGCTGGCTGTACGTCCGGCGAGAAACGGGGTAAAGTCAGGTAACGAGCTGTACCTGATTGTGGCGGTTCGCTGAGCCGCCGCCGGGGGCTGCCGAGAAGGGATCGAAAGCTGCCAGGTTAGTGACAGAGCTCTGCGACGATCCACCCGACCAGGAGGGCACGGCGCTCACTCCCCCGCCATCTGAGAGGATCTGAAAAGTGATAATAATAATAATCTTTACATTTGATATAGCACCTTATCACATTGTCGCGACGTCTCAAAGCGCTTCTCAGAATGTACTGCAAATTGACTTGACTATTTTGTGGGTGAAACGCGGCAGCCAATTGCACACAGCAGTGTCCCACAACAGCCATGGATCAAGTGACCACATTTTTTGGGGGGAGGGATTATTACTCCCAGAAAGCGATCCCCAAATCAACTAATAACCTGGTTCCTACTTACTGCTAGGTAAACAAAGGTGCGTGGAGTAAGGAAACTTGCCTTAGGATTCGCCCCATCTGGGAATCAAACTCAGGTCCTCTCGCTTGCGAGGCTAACCACTGCACTGCAGTACTCAAATGCAAGGATTATTACTGTTGTGAATGTTATTAGATTAATGTTGTTATAAGTATGTAGTGTTTCACCATGCGCTTCTCGTTATTCGACACAAGAAACTCCTCAGTGAACACGAGCTGCTCTTTATACAAACTGCAAATTGCAGCACAACCATCAAGGACCGTAGAGGTTTCATGTCAAACACAGATTCTCACCTCCACATAGTCGGTTGGAACAAGTCCAGTGGTTCCCTGGCCATTTGCTGCTTCACACCACCCTTCACCGACTGCCTGAAAGATGAAGTACGTGTTAGACTGAGGAACCTCAGTGAGTTGGTAACTGAAGCTCCACCACTTCCACAACTGCGAAGGAATGAAACTATCTTTGAGTCAAATTTACAACAACAACTTGCATTTATATAGTACCTTTAATTGCATTTATAGGCCGTCCCCAGGCCCTGGACAGTGAAGGGTTTGCACCCAAGCTGGGGTTGGAGGCAAAAGGAGTAGAGAACTAGGGGGCTGGAAGTGGGAGGATGATCAAAGGTTTGGTTGAAGAGGAAGGTCTTGAGACGGACCTTGAAGGTGGCAAGAGAGGGGGGGGCGAGGCAGAGGGGGCTCTGGGACGGAGTTCCAGAAGGTGGGGGCAGAGAGGCTGAAAGCCCGATCACCGATAGTGGAGCGGGCAGGGCGGGGGATATGGAGCAGATCAGTGCACCCGAGCGGAGGGTGCGGGTGGGTTGGTAACGTTTTACTACGTCACAGAGGTAGCGAGGAGCAAGACTATGGAATATGGGATTTAAAGGTGAGGATGGGGACGTTGTAAAATTATACTTAAAAGTCCTATATTTTTCATTGTCAGAGGCTTATTTTTTTTAAAATTCTGTTTTTAAGAGATCATTGATTAAGACCAAATGTGGCCTCAGTTCAGTTACTCAATTAATTGCCCTTTATACTGCTCCTTTCACATGGGATGAATGTTTTGAAGGACTTTCAAACAGAGGAGGTAAGAAACGGAGGCAAAGAAGTAGCAGGTGTGAAGGCCAGAGAGAGAGAGGGAGAGGGGAGGGAAAAAGAGAGGGAGAAAGAGAGCAAGAGCAAGAAAGAGGGAGAAAGAGAGAGCGAGAGAGAGAGTGAGAGGGAAAGCAAGAGAGAAAGAGAAGAGAAAAAGAAAGAGGGAAAAAGAGAGTGACAACAGTGAACATGTTTTCCACCACTGATATGGATTGCCTTATTCACTAGCTTGATTATCTGCTTGACTGTCCAGCACCTTGGGATATCCTCCTGACGTAAAAGGCGCTATACAAATATAACTAGTTGTTGTTGCTGCTCTTAGACAAATTATAACAGCAGATAATTTGTGCTGCTGTTACAGCTCACACTCATCACAAGACAGAAAATTTGATTGAGAAAATTGGACAGAACAGCGAACAATGATCCTCAAGCTTGGTTTAAAATGAAATTACTGCCTCCAAGAACTCTTTATTCTTCATGACACACAGAACTTTGTATTCGCTCCCACAACTAAAGCTGATTTTAGCTCTTGCCAGTCTGCGAGTCAAAGCAAGTTTGTCTAAAACATTACAGCTGCTCGAGCTCCCTGATCAGGGAAGGAGTGAAAGTGGGATTCCTAAAAAAAAACTGGCTGTGAGGAATTTTGCTGCACATCACCACCATTAGAAGATAATACACTGTACATGTGACATGATCTGTAAAGAGAGAGGAGTTTCTCCCAGAGTGCTGGCTTCTGTCAAACTCAGATTTGTACTGAGCCACATGTGTGGCTCTTGAACAACAGTTCAAGCCAACATCAGCTGAAAAAGTTGCTGGTATTTAACATGTTTACATGTTTGCATGTAAAGAGAGGAGAGACATAATGAGGTGCAGGTTATATTCATTTAAATACATGGAAAACAGTTTGTGGTAATCGTGTGTTTAATATACAAAACTACTTCATTATATTTTCCTCAAAAATAGGCATCATCTTATTTTTTTGATTGTTCAGACAGAGGATTATTTTGGATGACTATTTCAATTGAATATTCAAAAAGCCTGATTAGGCTTTAAGATGCATTACATACAACATGTTTAAATAGCCATGCACGCATCTCTGTAAGAAAACTGGCAGTGGGAATTATCTGAGCCACATTTCTGCTTTCTGCTGAGGTGGCTGTGAGCCACACAGACTTTCATGTGCCACATGTGATTCTTGGCTCTATTAGTGAATTCAGGAAGTACTGTTTCATACAAAGGGTAGTGGAAATCTCGAATTCTCCGCCAAAAGGCTGTGGATGTTGGATCCATTCAGATTTTCAAGATAGAGGTATATAGATTTTTGTTAGGCAAGGGTATCAAGGGATATGGAGCAAAGGCGGGTAATTGGAGTTGAGGTACAGCTCAGCCATGATCTAATAAAATGGCGGAACAGGCTTGAGGGGACTGTCCTGGCCAACAATCTTCCAGATAAAATCAGTCATTCGCCTCTCGGTTGTTTGAGGGATGTTGCAACGTTCAAATTGACTGCTGCATTCACCCACAAAATAGTCCCTGCGCTTGACAGCACTTGCTGTGAGCACTTTGAAACCTTTTGATGTATACACTGTATTGAAAGCAGGGATTCTTATTGTGATAATAATAATAATCCAAATGATATAAGTTGTTCAATAACTTTGGTGCTTTAACTTTGCTGCACAATGGTGCATTTAACATTAAGAACTTCTCAAAGCTCTTTACTGAGAATTGCTATGAAGTGCAGTGACCGCCTATTTGCACGCAGCAATATCCCACAAACAGCCACAAAGTGAATGACTGATTATATCTGGGGATTGTGGGCCAGGTCAGTGGGAGAGAGAAACTCCCTTCTCACATCACAGAATCTTTCACACCCAACTCGACAGGCAGATTGGGCCTCAGTTTGATGTTACATCTGAAAGACGGCACCTCAAACAATGGAGAGCTCTCCACAGCTTACAACAACAACAACAAGATTATATTTGTATAGCGCCTTTCACGTCGGGAGGACGTCCCAAGGCGCTGGACAGTGTACAGCATTTCAGACCCGAGCTGGGGTTGGGGGGGGTAAGGGAGGGAAAGGGGGGTGGCCGATGGCATGGTCGAAGAGGAGGGTCTTGAGGCGGGACTTGAAGGAGGCTACGGAGGGGGCGAGGGGGAGTGAAAGGGGATGGAATTCCAGAGGTTGGGGGCAGATTGGCTGAAAGCTCTCCTGCCAATGGTGGGGCGGGTGGGTCGGGGGATGTGGAGTAGGCCGGAGCCGGCTGAGCGGATGGAACGGGCGGGTTGGTAGGGGGTTAGGAGGTCGCAGAGATAGGATGGGGCATGGCCATGGAGGGCTTTGTATGTGAGGACCAGGATCTTGAACTGGATCCTCTAAAGGATAGGGAGCCAGTGGAGTCGGGCGAGAGTGGCTCCAACTCAGAGCCTAGACTCTGAGTTGAAAGCCCTGACATGGGGCTTGAACCCACAACCTCCTCACTCAGAGGTGAGCGAGACTAGCAGAGCCAGCAGGACATTATATTAGTTCTGACAAAGTTCGTGGACCCGAAACGTTGATTCACTTTCTTTTCTCCACAGACGTTGCCTGACCATTTCCAGAGAATTCTGTTTTTGTTTTAGAACATTATATTAGACCATTCTGATCAATGAGCTGCCTCTTGAAACAACCCAGAAAGACATATTGATCTATCCAATTCACAAAACTTTTACTGTAAGCACATGAAAATTTCTTACCCAATTAACAATGGTGATGAGCTCTCCCTCTTTGACAGTAAGCTCATTATTTCCAGGTTCTGCTGTGAAGTCGTATAAAACCTTGGCCTATTCAATGGGACAAAAGCAAAGCAGTCAGTAAAACGTTAAATTTATCCTTACAATTAAAATTGGGCTGGAGGGACACAGCAAGCAGCAAGCTGACATTTGCAATTATGTATGACGTGAAAGACGACCGGTACGTCAACTACAATAACTTGCATTTATCCAATGCCTTTCACTGTATCGGAGCACTGCACTTCAAATGAATACCAAAGCTCTGGGGAGCATTGCTATAGTGTCTCGAAGCTCAACACACAGTGGGTTTGGCATCAAGCCGGGGAAGACGTCCCAAGGGTTTGCACCTGAGCTGAGGGGATGGAGAGGGATGGAGGGCAGGGGGAGGATGACAAAAGGCACGGTCAAAGAGGAAAGCACAGTCAAAAAAAGTTGAATGGGCCTTTAAGGCAGGCTTTAAATGGGAACGGGCGAGAATTTGGGTAACAAAAGTAAGGTGACCAAAGATTCCAGAGCCGTGGGGGGCTCTAAATTATGAGAAAAGGTGGGGAGTACTTTTGTTGTACATATGCGAGGGGTTGCAATACCCAGAAATTAAGGTTTCAAGGGAACTATTTTTGACGTTGTAATAATAATTACAATAATAATCCTTGCATTTGATATAGCGTCTTATCACATCGCAAGGACGTCTCAAAGTATATACTGTGGATATACTGTGAAATGGAGAGACTCTGTATTTGTTGGCACAATTGTGCACAGCAATGTACCACAAACGGTCATGGAATGAGTGATCAATTTTATTTCGGAGGGATTGTTGGCCAGGACACCAGGAGAGATAAACTCCGTTCTCTTTTCAAATAGCGCCATGGGATCTTTAACGTCCATCCGATCAGGCAAACAGAACCTCGATTTAATATCTCATCTGATGAGATCTCATCTCACCCCCAGCATGACATTGGATGTCATCTTAGGCTACGTGAGTTCAAGTTCCAATGTGGGATTTGAACCCACAATCTTCTGACTCAAGAGACGGGAGTGCTACCACTGAGCCAAGCTGACACCTGTTACCAAAAAGATGTTAGCAATATCCAACCTCAATACTGGAGTTTGACAATAGAACACTCCTCAGTTTCGGCAAATGCAACAACAGGGGCAAGCTCCAACCAGCTTCACACTCTGAATCTCACGACTGGTGCAGAGATAGCGTTCATGGACAGCAATGTAAACAAGAAAGCAGTATCCAGTCTAAAATTAGTCAATGGGTCCAAGTAACACAATGGAACTCACACATAAAAAGTACCGAGCTGCAGCAGCCTGATACCAGAACGAGCTGTACCAGACTCCATCCCTACCCGAGTGTAATCACTCACTTCCAATTCAACAACGAGTCACAGTGTCCAAACATCTCAGCATCACACACAGGGAATCCCTGCACACGAGCACAGGCCTGGCACCTTTGTATGTAACATACAAAGTTGGGAGTCCTGTAGCATAGATGTTACGGCGCTCATCTCACAAGCAAGAGGACCCAGGTTCGATTCCTGGGTAGGTTAAAACCTTAGGCAAGTTTCCTTACTCCACACGCCTGTTTACCGAGCAGTAATTAGGAACCCAGTTGTTAATTGATTGGTGATCTCTTTCCAGAGGAAATAATCCCTCAAAGAAAAAAATAAAATTGGTCACTCATTCTACGACTGTTTGTGGGACACTGCTGTGCGCAATTGGCAGCCGGATTCACCCACAAAATATACAGTCAATTCACTTTACAATATATTCTGTGAAGCGCTTTGAGACATCTCAAAGATGGGAGAAGGCACTATGCTAAATGCAAGGTTTATTATTATTAGTAGTAGTAGGTGATTTGGTCTCCCTGCATACTTTAGTTACAAAGTCAATTAAGTGGCTCGTGCACACACAAAATAAATAGAACATAAATTGCTGAAAAGTGTAGTGAGTGGAGTTACTTGGAGTTACTTGGAGTTCCAGGCAGAGGGCGAAACCTTGGGCAAGTTTCCTTACTCCACACAGAGCCTAATAATAATCCCTCCAAAACTAAAAACAATAATAAATTGGTCATTTTCAATCTACGACTGTTTGTGGGACATTGCTGTGTGCAATTGGCTGCCGCGTTTGCCCACAAATATACAGTCAAATCACTTTACAGTGTATTCTGTGAAGCGCTTTGGGACGTCCTCCCGACGTGAAAAGCGCTATATCAAATGCAAGGGTTATTATTATTATTACTTTGTTTTTATAAGCAGAATATCTATTTTACTGGATGAAATTTGCCACTTTTCGATGTGATAACAACAACTTGAATTTATAAAGCGCCCCTCACACAGAGTAGTGTCCCAGAGCATTTGATAATAATCCTTGCATTTGATATAGCGCCTTATCACATCTTCAAGACGTCTCAAAGCTCTTTGCAGAATATACTGCTAAGTGAATTGACTATATTTTGTGGGCGACATGCGGCAATCAATTGCGCACAGCAGTGTCCCACAAACAGTTGGACACTGCTGTGCGCAGTAGATTGAAGTGACAAGTTTTTTTTAAAAGGAATTATTTCCCCTGGAAAAGCGATCCGCCAATCGACTAACAACCAGATTCTTACTTACTGCTAGGTAAACAGAGGCACGTGGAGTAAGGAAACTTGCCCAACATTTTGCCCTGACAGAAATCAAACCCAGTTCTCTCGCTTGCAAGGCGAATGCTGTTACTACTGAGCTATAGGACTCCATGCAAGTGGGGCCGTGGTTAAACGACTCACTTGAAGAACAGCACATCCTTCAAGTACAGCTCTCCCCCAATATTGCACTGGAGAGTCAGCCCCTGCACTGGAGAGTCAGCCCCTGCACTGGAGAGTCACCCCCTCCATGTCAGCTAGAGCGCTCTGAGACGCTACCCTGCATGAAGGGCACAATATAAATGCAAGTTGCTGTTGTCAGTTGTTGTAAGCTGTTGTAGCTTGTTCACAGTTCGAGCAGCGTCAGTCTAGACTATGAAATGTGAAACTGGCGAGAAGTTTTATAACCTCATGACTATGATAATGTAATTGAGGAATGCATGTTGGAGGCAAATCAGAGAAGTGAAGAATGTTGTGAGACATTACATCTGTGTATAGCAGACAGAAATAACAGTACAGGATAGGGCAATGCATTTAATAATAACCCTCACATTTGGTAAAAGGGCCTGTAACATCATGAGGATGTCTCAAAACATTTCACAGCATTTTATTTCCAGTAAACTGTAGCAATGTTTTATGTTGGTGAACGTGGCAGCCAATCTGCGCACAGCAATGTTCCACAAACGGCCAAGAAGTGAATGACTGAGTTTATTTGAGGGATTGTTAGCCTACAAGAGTGCTATCGACTGAACCAGGCTAACACACATTACAACATGTGTGCCTGGAACAGCCTTGTTATCAACAAGGTAGCAGGTCGTACAAGACTGAGGTTAAGTTTTGTAAGAATCTCGCCTCTAAACCAGAAGGTTGTGGACTCGGGCCCCACGGCGGGAGTTTGAGCTCACAGTCTAATGGTCCAACACAACGTTGGATAGAGCGCTGCATTGGCAGAGGTTCCAAACTGCCTGTTCAGGTGGACGTTAAATGACATACATAAAAAAAGTTACTATTCAATTCATTGCTGTATGTGGGGACATTGCTCTGTGAAAATTGGCTGCCATGTTCATCTACAAAATATAGTCATTACACTTTAAAATAATTCCTGTGAATGCTTCAAGACATTTTATGACATGATGAGGCGCCATATCAAATGCAAAGATGATCATTGTTTTGCTTATAATCTTGAATTTCGCCCACAAAATATACAGTTAATTCACTTTAGAGTATATTCTGTGAAGCGCTTTGAGACATCTCTATGACATGATAAGCCGTTATATCCAGCTCAAGGATTATTAGTATTATTATTTATATCCTCTAGTAATTGATTCACCCACCATTAAGAAAAGCTTCTCCCTCCTAACCTTACCAGCCCCCAGGTATTAGGAACAACTCTACCTGGTTCTTTTCAACCTTCTCTGTACTCATGAAAACAACTCCAATTTCTCCAATCTTTCCCCACAAGTAAAACCTCTCATCTCTGGTACGATCTGAGTGAATCCCCCGTGTCTCTCTGTCTTTGACTCTGACTCAGAATTATGGCTTAAAGATTTGGTTTAACATTTCCCCTTTGCTTTTATATTCTAAGCTCCCATTTATAAGACCTAGGATTCCATTAGCTTTGCCAACTTGCCCTCCCACATTTAAAGCTGTGTGTACATTAACCACTTGATCTCTCTGCTCTTCTGCCCCCGATGACATATAGCTTGGCCAAAGCCAAAGAGGAAGCGGGGGAGTGGGACCCCAAGAGGCCAGAGGTTGGCAGGAGGCCACTTCATTTTGTTGAACGTCTGCGACACACAATCAAAATGTTTAGGGTGGGAATGCAGCGTTGCACAAGATTATTGTGACAGACAAACATCCTTACAAACAATGAGAAAAACATACCCTGCACTGTCCATGCACAAGTAACTCCTTACAGTGAAGTCCTGTAGTGTAGTGCTTAGAGCACTCGACTCGCAAGCAAGAGAACCCAGGTTTGCTTCCTGGGCAGGGCGAAACCTTAGTCAGGTTTCCTTACTCCACAAGCCTCCGTTTACCTAGCAGTAAGTAGGAACCCGGTTGTTAGTGGATTGTCGGATCACTTTCTGGGGTAATAATGTCAATTAATTTTACAGTATATTCTGTAAAGAGCTTTGAGATGTCTCGACAACGTGATAAGGCAAGGATATCAAATGCAAGGGTTATTTTTATATTACACTTGTTATAGCTATTCATTACATCAACGTGCTGCAAGCCCTTCACAGAGATTTCTGTCAAGTATAGCGACAGTGTAGTTGTAGGCAAATTGTACTCTCAAAGCAGGCATACCACAGGAAGTTTACACCAGCTTTAACTGTTCTCTCTGTTCTTCTTACACAGAGGATGACAGAATCCTGACTAAAGATAAACAGAGGTGTCAAGGCCAGACTCCGCAAAGTCTATGATGATTTACAGTTGTTTTTGTGGAAAAAAAATCTCAGGAAATATAAAGGGCATTTCCTCTTGCGTGAGTTTGAGTTGTTTTTCTTAAACCTACATAACCCAAAGAAACACTCAGCTCAGCTTATGCTCAACTTTGGCTCAAATAGTGTTATGGTCTGTGGTCTAATTCAGCACAAGTCTTCACAACTCAAAACAGAGGGACAGCAAACTCATGTTGAATGCTTTCCAGCCCGAAAACTGCACTAAATGAAAACGTAGCAATGCTGGCAGAGTTTCAGGCCAGAGGGAAATCATGAGACATAAAACGTGAAAACTCAGCAAAATGCTAACTTCAATACATTATCTCAGTGAATTCTCAGTTCAAAAATAACTATGAAACCATCAATAAGGCAGAAACTTTAAGACTTGAAAGTAAAATTAGTCCTTGCATTTGATATAGTGCCAACATACAAAAGTCTCAAAGCGGTTCATGCGCAAATGCTGTCAAGCCTATGGGCTACAAACACAGCAAGCAATTCGTGCACAGCCAGGTCCCACATTAACATTAGTTAATAACCAGCCTATCTGGATAGTTAATATTAAGACACTCTGGGCCCATCATACACAAAACTTGCATTTTTATAGCTTTTCATGCAGAATAGCATCTCTGAGCGCAGCACAGTGGCGAGCATCACACCGAGCAAGTGGGTGGGAAGGTGGCTATAGGTGAGATTTTGTGGGTAGGTNGGGGGGGGTTGTCAGCCGGGTGTCTGACACATGCGGAAACCCATCACCGTGCTTAGAGTACCCAAACCAAGCTGAGAATTCCATACATCCCACCACACATGGAAATCCCAGAGAGAGATTGTTGGAATGTAATAATAATAATAATAATACTTGCATTTGATATAGCGCTTTTCACGTCGGGAGGACATCCCAAAGCGCTTCACAGAATACATTGTAAAGTGAATTGACTGTATATTTGTGGGCGAACGCGGCAGCCAATTGCGCACAACAATGTCCCACAAACAGTCGTAGACTGAAAATGACCAATTTATTATTGTTTTTGGTTTTGGAGGATTATTATTAGGCTCTGTGTGGAGTAATGTGAATGTAATGCGCTCTCTCTCCCTGGAGGGACACATCCTGCTCACCTAATTCCTATTATGGTATAGGTTGGCAACAACCAAGGCTTGGGGACCCCCGAGTGTGCGTTGGGGTAAGTGCTGCAGTCTAATCAGTTGAAACCCACATACAGTCAATTCACTTTACAGTTTATTCTGTGAAGCGCTTTGAGATGTCTCAAAGACGTGATAAGGCTCTATATCAAATGCAAGGATTATTATTATTATTATTATTATTATTAAAACTGCATAGCTTGCCTTTGATAGCACTCTCTGGCAAGCTTTCCTGCTGCTTGTCCAGCTAGAACCACCCTACCTGTGAGGGCTTTGGCTTGTAGGATTAACAGGAACTTAGGGAGATGACTCCCTGCTCCAGTCACTGGTCTGCCCCTTTTAAGTCCTGCCGATGTGTTGTCATCAGCAGTGCCCTGGAATACTGGGGACCCGCCTGGCTCAGGAACTGGACGAGAGACGGTCGCAGAGGGCCGGCTCGATTCCAATATTCCGTTGTTAGACATGTCACCTTGAAGCCAGTTCAGCCCCAAGGAGACTCCGCTTACCTCCCCCTCAGCTCTTTTGAGGGCAGAGCAATCCACATCTGGTGAGGAAACACTTGCTGACCTCAGCTCTAACTGTCTAATAGTGACGGACAAGCAGCAAAGGAAATCGGACTCTGAGCATCTCAGAGCCCTGAGATCTCATCCACTGGTGGAAAGATTAATATCAACAATAATAATCCTTGGATTTAGTTACAGGGTGTTTCATGTTGGGAGGATGTCCCAAAGCAATTCACAGGATTTTACTGTAAAATATTACGACAGTGTATTTCGTAGCTGAATGTGGCAGTCAATTTGCACACAGCAACTTCCCAGCAACAGCCACGAAGTGAGCAACCAAACTTATGTGGGGGATTGTCGGCCAGGACCCCGGAAAACACAGCGAGGTGGCGGGGGAGTCAATACAATATAATATAATAGACACGCAAACAATAAACCAGAAACATTCACTCTATACAGTGAACCTCAGCACCATCAACGCCCATCCACACACCCCCATCCCACGGCTCACACACAGTCTCCTCTTAAGACTCACACCTCATCCTCCCGCTCCACCAAGACACACACACACGCCTCCGCCACCCCACCCCCTAGGGCTCACTCACACACGTACTCCAGGCTCTCTCTCTCTCAAACACACACACTCCTCTTCCCCCACCCACTCCACACGCACAAACACATCTCTCACCCATCCCCACACTCTCACACACATCTCTCTCCCCGCCACACACACTTCTCCTCACCACATTCTCACACACACAGCTCTCGCCCCACACAGTCACACCTCATCCCCACTCCCACACTCTCACACACACTTCTCCACCCCCCCCACACTCTCTCACACAGACACACCTCTCACCCCCACTCACACACACAGATGCACCTCTCACCCCCACTCACACACAGACGCGCCCCTCACCCACACGCACCTCTCCTCACCACATTCTCACACACACAGCTCTCGCCCCACAGTCACATCTCATCCCCACTCCCACTCTCACACACACTTCTCCACCCCCCCCACACTCTCTCACACAGACACACCTCTCACCCCCACTCTCACACACACACCTCTCACCCCCACACTCTCACACAGACACACCTCTCACCCCCACTCACACACACAGATGCACCTCTCACCCCCACTCTCACACACACACACCTCTCACCCCCACTCTCACACACAGATGCACCTCTCACCCCCACTCTCACACACACACACACACCTCTCACCCCCACTTCTCTCACCCCCACTCTCACACACACACCTCTCACCCCCACTCTCACACACACACACTCACACACACCTCTCACACACACACTCACACACACCTCTCACCCCCACTCTCTCACACACACCTCTCAGCCCCACTCTCACACACACACTACTCACCCCCACTCTCTCACACACACCTCTCACCCCCACTCTCTCACACACACCTCTCAGCCCCACTCCTCTCACCCCCACTCTCACACACACACCTCTCACCCCCACTCTCACACACACACTCACACACACACACTCACACACACCTCTCACCCCCACTCTCACACACACACTACTTACCCCCACTCTCACATACACACCTCTCACCCCCACTCTCACACACACACCTCTCACCCCCACTCTCTCACACACACCTCTCAGCCCCACTCTCACACACACTACTCACCCCCACTCTCACACACACACCTCCCACCCCCACTCACACACACAGATGCACCTCTCACCCCCTCTCACACACACACACCTCTCACCCCCACTCTCACACACACACCTCTCATCCCCACTCTCACACACACACACCTCTCACCCCCACTCTCACACACACACACCTCTCACCCCCACTCTCACACACACACACACCTCTCACCCCCACTCTCACACACACACACACCTCTCACCCCCACTCTCACGCACACACACACCTCTCACCCCCACTCTCACACACACACACCTCTCACACCCACTCTCACACACACACACCTCTCACCCCCACTCTCACACACACACACACCTCTCACCCCCACTCTCACGCACACACACACCTCTCACCCCCACTCTCACACACACACACCTCTCACCCCCACTCTCACACACACACACACCTCTCACCCCCACTCTCACACACACACACCTCTCACCCCCACTCTCACACACACACACCTCTCACCCCCTCACACACACACACACCTCTCACCCCCACTCTCACACACACACACCTCTCACCCCCACTCTCACACACACACACCTCTCACCCCACTCTCACACACACACACCTCTCACCCCCTCTCACACACACACACACCTCTCGCCCCCACTCTCACACACATCTCACCCCCACTCTCACACACCCCTCACCCCCACTCTCACACACACCCCTCTCACCCACACTCTCACACACACCCCTCTCACCCACACTCTCACACACACCCCTCTCACCCCCACTCTCACACCCCTCTCACCCCCACTCTCACACCCCTCTCACCTCCACTCTCTCACACACACCTCTCACCCCCACTCTCTCACACCCCTCTCACCCACACTCTCACACACCCCTCTCACCCACACTCTCACACACACCCCTCTCACCCCCACTCTCACACACCCCTCTCACCCCCACTCTCACACACAACTCTCTCAGCCCCACTCTCTCACACACCCTCTCAGCCCCACTCTC